ACAAGGTAAACTAAGTGCTTTACAAAATACATGGAAATAAAACAACACAGAACAAAACAAGACAAAACAAGAATAGGAAACGTAACATGAAAAATACCAAATAGAAATATTATCAGTGTGCGAGTTAAAATCATTAACATTAAAAGTCTTTCCTATAAAAATCTGTTTAAGAAATGGATTAAAAACAGATCCAGTGCCGACAAGGCTAACCTCTAACTGCCTGGTCACCTGCCTCAACTCTCTGTCTCTTATCATTTCCCCCAGTTCTGCACAACAGTGAGGAAGATCGTGTGCAGCAGGATGAGCGCCTACCTGACTGCACTGTGTGGAGCGGGACTCGTGCTGTATCTGGGCTGTGTGACGCCGCTGACTGTTTTACCGACCGTGCTCGTCTCGTTCACCATCTGGATGGCGGCCTGAAGGCCTCACGAGTACAGACTCTATCCTAACTCACCAGTGGATGTTGAAATGAGGTCCTGTGGTTTGAATGTGTGATTCAAGGTAAAAGGTGCAGGGAAAGAAACTTGTTCACAGTAAAACAACATCTTTATTTTATGTTTTACATTATTTGGCCAGTTGTAGATTATTTTATATATATATTTTATCTTTCATTGAATGTGTCTGTGATTCTTCAGCTCTGATATTCCACATTAATCTCATTTAGCAGCAGCAGCACAGGAAATCATGAGATGAGTCTGAGACATTAAAAAATAAGAAACTGACCCATGTTATACTTTAGTGAACATATATACACGATGTATGTTGCAAGAGCTTGCAGGAATATCACAGTGGATATTTTTCTATATAATTTACGATCATTAAAAACAAATTCCTCAATGTGATACGTTCCCATCATGCTCTATCTTAAAGGTTGGCTTGGACAAAGTGCAATAACCTTCTTATGTAATAGTACTTTGATAGATTCCATATGTTTTCCTCTGTCTATTAAACATGTATTTCTACCTGTGTCTAGTTTTTTCACATTTTCTCTGCTGCCATCAAAGTTAACTACATCCTGTGAGATGTCCAATGGAAAAACAGCATAGCTTCAGGGGAACACCGTGACCAACACAGGCGTGGGAAAAAACAAAATACTACTAAATGTAATACAGAGTTAAATGTTTTGCTCTTTGCTGCTGAGAATGTGATCATCTGTCCGTCATTTTACAACCAGAATAAGAATTGTGCAATCGGCAGCATTCCTGAATCTTCTTTTAGCTTTTTCCCAGAGAATTTCAAGGCAGGCAAATACAAGAAGAAACGACTGACTGGGGAGATACTCAGTGGCACAATGAGAAAACATATTATTCAAACTTCAGATTAATGATTTATTTCAAGAATTAGAGTAAATAAATAAATTATTGATGCTTCTGAATGGCTTCTTGACCCAGAGGAGACACTTAGTGTGCATGGACTATTTTTATAACAACTTAATAAACATTTATCATAGTTTAATGGTGGATCTACGATCGGGTGGATCCGCCTGCTAAGATTTTATCTTTATGTATCTCCATAATCATAATGAAAAATAAGAATGATTCATGGGCAAACAAGTGTAAATAAGTGAAAAAGGTGAGCAACAACTAGAATTTCTGCACTGCGGTTGTGTGCCTCCACCAACCAGTGCAGTTTCTATGTACATATTTCTATATATATATATATACGGTCACTGAAACCTTTATCTTTGAGTCCAAGTGAGAACTGATCAAATCTCCCTCATGCAGTCTAGAGATAAAACATCCAAGAGGCAAAAAAACACCTCAGTTCTGATATATCACATTCACAGTAACATGAGGTCGCTGTGATCTTGACCTTTGACCTCCAGGCACCAAAAGAATATCTCCGCCCTCAACGTTGTGTGTGTGTGTGTGTGTACCCAGGGCTTTTTCATAAAACACTCACAGCTGTAGCCTCTGATGACACCTATGATGAACAAACCATCAGTGGCAGCAAAAGCACTTTACACAAGATGTAGGTGGTTCGGATTCAAATTTAATTATCAGTTGTGTCTGAAGTCGCTTTTTTCAGTCATTAACGAGACCACGATTTTAACTTTTAACTTTCACCAAGAGCTGTGAGTGCCTAAAGCTGTAATTAAGTACGTTTAATGACGCTGGAGTCAGTAGATAAATATGTTGTCTATTCAGCCTCAACACTACTTGGACCAACACAATTAAAAGACATGTAATATGTTTCATACAAAACATATTTGCTGTTGCAGTTTAGTTGCAAAATCATTTCTCCTACATGAGCTATTTGGAGTTTATGTTGGAGAAATGGCTGCATATTGCTGAAAGAGTTGCTGTTGCTGTGTTCCACGTCTTTATTAAACACTAACTGGGTAAATATGGCAGAGCAGCAACTGTAGTAATTATGATGAATAGCAGAGGTAGAGGAGTAGGTAGAAAGACTATTTGCCGCACTGTGAGAGACCAGTGTGGTAATACTGGTCTAAATTAACTCTATACACACACTGGAATCTCAGAGCATGTGGAAAGGAAGGATGAGACATTTTTGTTATTTGACAGCAAATTTGCAGCAGCCGTGACTGAGGGCAGATCATGATCAACTCATTCTGATTCATAAAAGACGCTGGTGTGGCTGCAGATGAAGGGAGAAGGAAACAAGAGGTGAAACCTGCGCGGTCGTATGTGAGAAGAAAACACTTTAATTTTCACATTGCATCTGCATAAGTAAGATTACTATAACTATAACTATATATATATATATATATATATATATACACACATATACATGATCGTCCACATTTGCATAAAGCATAACTAAAGCCTATACCTAGAGCTGCAGCAATGGACAGTACGAGTGAAGTGATGTGTTTACTGAACATTAGAATTCGTAAATACTTTCAAATAATAATCAAATTCAAAATGATGAACCTGAATATGAGTATAATATGTCCCCATTAAGTAGTTCACCTTCATGTATTTGGAGTATGGATCATGACTTAAAGCAGCGGTCTGCAGCATTGTAAAGAACAGGTGACATTTGGTCAATAATCTCATTTAATAGGCCATGATGAAGTGTCCCTGACATCAGCGCCTGTGTAGCTTTGCATCTTAATGTTTCTGCTGCTCAGGATGATAAATGTGCCGCTGTCCTCCACAGACACAGTGTGAGCGCCATGAAGACTCCCGCAGGTATTTCGGTGGACTTCAGTCACGTCACATATCTCTGAAGCATGATTCTGTTCAGAGGGAGCTTATCATTAATGTGTCACTGTTCTCTGCTGTCATGTTCAGTTACCAGCTCAGCAACAAGATGTGGTTTAGTGCAGTGGAGAGTTCATACGTAATGAGCTGAGACAATGATCTCTGTAAATCTGCACTGAACAGGATCAATAAAGCATCAAAGACAAGGAAATGGATTCAGCCTCATTTACATTTCATCTTTCCAAAGATGCTGCTTTCATTAACCAGATTTTTATTTTTTTTTGACAGGCAGCTGTTATTTTCCTTAAAACGTTTTTTGCAACCCTTGCCACTGTGCTTTAGAATTCTTAAATGTGCTTATATTATTCTTGGCATCAACCCGATATCCATATATGCACTGATTGGATGAAGATATATTAGCAGACTCTTGTTAGTGTCTTGAGTTGTGCAGCCTGATCCATCACAGTGACATTAAGTAACTCTACTGTGGTGTGGTCCTGAATTAAAAAATAGTTGGATGGGAAACAAGCAAAGTAAATAAATTCAAAAGAAAATGTTTAAATTGCGCAGAGAAGAGACGCTGCTCGACACTAACTCCATTTCTAATGGCCACATGGTGTCTTGTTTTACAGCAGTGGAAACCAACAGTCACATTTATCTGTAAACTCTCACTGTCATTGAACACAACATGAAAAGTCTGTCATTAAAGAAAGCGAGGTCTCTGACGTTATAACATGTTGTGAAGTTTAGCTTTCGAGTTTTACCCATAGAACGTTTGGTTTTAATTACTTGACTGAAATGACAAAGCTTGGGTGAAATGTCATGATTGACAGCTTGGACTGACTTGTGATTGGTTTTGTGTGTGTATCGGCGGGACCTTGATATTGTGGCTCCATCCTTCATTCGCTTCTGCACAGGCTCTGGCTCCAAATGACGTCATCATGGTGGCATTCACGTGGCTTCATTTCTGGATAGTGGGAGAAAATGAAGAGATGTTAATTTACAGTTTTTACCATCTCAGTAAAGTGGTAGTTTGCTTTAAATGCTTAAAGTAATAAGATCATTACTGAAGGATGGATGGATGGATGGATGGATGGATGGATGGATGATGGATGGATGGATGATGGAAGGCAGTGCAGCCAAATCCATTTATGTTTGTATTGTCCACTGTTGAATGCTTTAAATATTATAAACTTGTATGAGAACAGTTCGGTGAACGACAGTGTCTTCAAATCGCTTCTGATTCCATTTCTAGAAATCTTGGTACGATTGGTTTAGTTTGTTTTTACTAGAAAGAGTCTTGATCCTTTTCAGATGTTCTGTAAACCTTAAATAAAGCTTGTGTCTCTCCTTACTGCGGGATTCTTCTGCAGAGGCTCATTATAAAACATCCATTAACATTAAGCTTAATATGATGACTTGTATTAATGTTCTGATCGTGGTTCTCACGCTCTCTGTTGGTTATTTACCAATATCTTAATAGAAAAAGCCGCATCTGCACTGCATTAGCTTCTCATTCTGTTTTTCATAAATTGGAGGAAATATGACATTTGCCATTGGAGCAGGAGAAGACGCATGCTCGCTAAAACGACCCAGTGCAAAGCAATCATGCAGCAGACATGACCTCTGTGATTCCCGTCCGTGGAGGGTGGAGGACGTGTTTCCTCCCTGTGTATACTTCAGCCCGCCTCATGTGTGAGTCTCTCACAGTCTCTCAGGGCCGGTGACGCGCGCTCTGTGCCAAACTGGCTGCAACGCGCACTGGCTGATGATGCGCGCTTTTGCTGTTGCGCTTTCGATGGGAGAAGGTTGTTCCATCGGTGTTGGGAGGATTTCCATCGGTTTATTTATCGGGATGTCACAGAAACATGGAGGCATAAACATTTAAAAGAATCCGCAGGTTGAGGTGAGTGGAACAAAAATGCTTGTTGATCAGTGCTTTTTTTGGCTGGAAACAGAGAATCATGACTGGAGTTCATCAAGTGACACTTTGAGGAGCTTCTGATAGTGAGAGCTGTCAGTAAAGACTTCATTCTCCTGGGTCGGTGTCCTGAAGGCATCATATGCAGCCTGTGTCTGTGATGCTCACTCTTTACATTTACAACTAAAACTTGTCTGGGCAATGATTGTGCAATATAGTGGGAGACGTTGTTTATGGTGCATCTTTGAGTCTTATCTTGTGAATGGCTTGTGCGTCATCTGTAATGCCAGATACTGAAATTACCAGGCACCAGTGGAGTCCTAATTTAAATATCTGCATTTAAAATCCCTTTAAATTGATCCATATATTAAAGAAAATACTTCATGTGTCATTTTATAATTCAATTTCATTTTCTTTTTTTTAAATTTATTGCCTGTTAACTCGTTGAATCTTTCCACAGACAGACTAAAGGGACTGTCAGCCATGGATGCATCAGATCAACTGAACACGACTCAAGTGGAAGATTCACCACTTGAAGTAAAATCTTCCAACTGCTGCTCGACCGCAGTGAATGATATAAACTTCTTGCAGCTGGATGACAGCACAAAGCTGGTGGGAGTCCAAGTTATTCTCATCCTCGCTTACAGCACGATCATACTGTTTGGAGTCATTGGAAACTCCTTGGTGATTTACGTTGTCTACAAGTTCAAAAATCTCCGGACCGTGACCAATTTCTTCATCGTGAACTTGGCGGTGGCGGACCTGCTGGTCAACACGCTGTGCTTGCCTTTCACCCTCGTCTACACGTTGTTTGAGGAATGGAAGTTCGGCCAAGTGTTGTGCTTCATGCTGCCCTGCGCCCAAGGCATGGCCGTGCACGTGTCCACCATCACCTTGAACATCATCGCCCTGGACCGCCACAGGAGCATCGTCTACCACACGGAGACCAAGATGTCCAGAGACATGTGCACGTTGGTGATTGTCATGACGTGGACTGTCAGCGCCCTGTTGGCTAGTCCGCTTGCCATATTCAGGGAGTACGGGACATTGGATCTGATGCCGAACAAATCTATTTCGGTGTGTACGGAGAATTGGCCGGGAAGCAGCATGAACGGAACCATCTACAGTATATCAATGCTCCTGGTTCAATATGGCCTCCCTCTGGCCATTAACTCTGTGGCTTACATCCGCATCTGGAACAAACTGAAGAAAAGCCTGACCCACGGGGCCCGGAATGACCGCCATCAGCGCAGGAAGAAGACCACCAAGATGCTGCTAATCATGGTGGTTGTCTTTGCCGTCAGCTGGCTGCCCCTCAATGCGTTCCAGTTGGCGGTCGACATCGACAGCACTGTGCTGTACATGGAGGACTTCAAGCTGCTGTTCACCGTGTTCCATATCCTGGCCATGTGCTCCACGTTCGTCAATCCCATCCTGTACGGGTGGATGAACAGCAATTACAGGACGGCCTTCTTGTCAGTGTGCTACTGGCCCTTCACTTCGAGGTCGAGACGCTCCAAACGCAGAGACGCACGAAGAGAGGACGTCAGGGTTTGTGCACATAGCAAATCAACCAACCTGTGAAAGAAGTTCAGGTTTGCTAAACAGAGATGGGTCATAGCAGCTCTGATCCCAAACATCAGTGCTCGTCTACTCAGGTATTTGTGTGTCAGATTTTGATGGACGTTCCTGTTTGTTGATGCAGTTTGTCAGTGGGTTTTTTTTGTTGTTGTTGATGTGCTAAATGATTCGAATCTGAAATTTGAGCAGAGATGACGCAGCATTGGAAGCGTGGTCATTTACGCTCATGTAGATGCTTTTTTAGAGTTGTTATAATTATTTAGATGACGACTAATCAACGTATAAATAAGATTTGAGGCATATTGTGAAAATACATCTAGGAGGTTATGTTTTCACCTCTGTCCATTTGTTTGTCAGCAGGATTATGCAGAAATGACTGAAACCAAACCAAATCTAAAAGCTGTACAAAAAAACTTGGTGGATGTAAAATCGGCTGGAAAAAATTCCCATTGAAGTGTAGATCTGCACAAATTGGCAGATCCAGGATTTTTTTAAAACTTCCTTTAACCTCTTACCTATTTCCCACGGAATAACTGAATAAATGTTGGTATTTTTAGGGAACTGATATCTATGATATATTGTTTGCAAATTTCTTTCTTGGCCCAAGTTCCAATAAGTCCAACATGTTTTTGTGCAATGCTGCAGAAACAAACAAACAAATGGACACGAGTGAAAACATATTGGCTGAAGTAAATTTATCTGCTGATAAAATATACAAACAAGTGAAAAAAATCAATGTGAATTCATGTGAAAATGGGGGAAATTGCCCCCTTTGCTGCAGCCTTGATGTTTAATTGTGTCTTTGTTGTGTACATGTGTAGATTCTTGATTCTGTGTGTTTTCATTATTCTTATTTATGTATCAGACAGTTCCTTCCCCTCCCCCTCATGGCTTTGTATGCAGCGAGCGTCCTAATTACCACTGTTTGCTTTTACAATGATCACACCGGTGCTGCATGGGGTTCTGAAGAGCCCTTCCTGTTGACCGGGTCCTCTGCGTGTGCGTGAGGAGCCGGGGGACCGGGATATTAGCTCCACATCTCCATTTTTAGTAAAGCCATTCATGGGGTAAATCAATAACTGCTTCTTTAACCGTCCGACATTATCGAGCAGCTTCTGCTGTCACAAACTGTGCTCTCAGGAGGACACTTGCTAATCAAGTAAAATGAACAATAGTTTGGAAACTAATTGAATTCATCCTGGTTTACTGATGGTCCTGTCTTTTGGTTTTTAATAAGAGAAATACTTTCCCTGGACTCTCATTCTATTCAGCATGAAGTCATATTTGATCTCCTCCTTGGAGTAAATATCGATTTTGGCAATTACTTGTATCTCGATTGTGAAACAATTAAGTGCTGGAAGTGAAACAGTGAGGCAGCATATTCAGTCGGTGGTTCACATGCAGAACACTGAGCCTCTTCAATCGATGGTGCCTCGTGGTTTCTGTTTTCATTTAGTCACTGTGGTCCATTTAATGTGGATGTGGTTTTTATAAATTATATTTATTAGGATGCACTTACTCTGATAGAATAAAGACTCTGAAATATTAATGGACTTCAAACTCAAAGCTGCATTAATAAAAGGCCCAGTGTGTAAGATTTAGGTGAAAGGAACTATTGGCAGAAATTTAATGTAGAATAATCCTCATGTTTTCTTCACTAGTTTGTTTCATCTGAATTATATAAATTGTAGATTTCTTTACCCCAGAAAAGGTTCTTTATATTTAAATACTTTATATTTACAGCTTTTTCCACAGGTTCTTCTTCATGTTTGGACGGGGAGGTGAAGGGTGTTCGGCTGCAACATGACATTTCAACACTAGATATCACTACATTCTACACACTGTACCTTTAACTCCAGACACAAAGCACTGCAATAATAATGCTTTAGCATCTGTAGCTAACATGACAGCAGACAGTTGTTCTCGTCTCGTACATCCAGCAGACATGGAGCGACATGAGGATTCATTCATTGTCATTTGATGAAGCAAGAAAATGACCTTTGTCCTTTTCTGATTTTGTTTGTTTGGATAAATTGCTCCTAAATGTTTGTTGACTCAGAGAGCGTCTGTATGGAGTGTGTCTATAAAGATGGAGGACAAGACTGCTCCTTAAAAGTGAAGCCAAAATCAGCTGGATTTCCCCCTGGTGGCTGGCTGCAGCATAGGTCATAAATCCTGCTGCATCCATGTTAGCAGATTGGACAACCAACCCAAAATGTCAAAGTAAAGGACAGACGTTAAATAAAATGTTCCCATAGATGTTTCTGGGCCTTTTACTGTGTATGATGATCTGTTATATATGATGCATGTTTTCCAGTGAGGTAAAAGAATGAATACTGCGTACAACTGAGTCGACCATGTTTGAACCATTAAATCAAACGTTGTGCTAAAAACAACAGAAGCTTGATAAACTGTGCTGGTCGTTGATGTTTGTCAATATTAGCAGCTTGACTTGATTTTATGTTATTACTATTATTATATTTCATAAATGCCGTTCACGTTGGGTTCAGTTCTCCACTTATGGGACTGTGGGGAGTTTTTCTGTTTCCATGTTAAAGGCAGTAAAACAATATTTAAAATAATCTTTGTATTCAACACTGCAGTGATCAGATTAACATAGAACATATATAAACATAAACCTGGTAATATAAAATTCTTTCTGTTGTCATGGGAGCTGAAGAATGACACTACAGCGCCCCCCAGTGTCTCAGAGTCTCCACTCTTGTGTCAGTATAACACTGAACTGACTGAAGTTTTGTATTGATGCCTTAGAATCTAGTTATTTAAAATCAAACATAAAATAATTTTTTGTTTTCTCTGTTTCAATTCTTCATTGCAGAAACTTATTTATGAGCCTGATGCTGTAGTTTCAACTCAACACACTGAAAACTGGACTTGGATCTTGGAACTTGAATTTAAAATAATGTAATAAATTCTAAATGTATAATCTGAATAAAGTTGAATAAGTTGTGCAATTTTAAATGAGACAAGTGAGGAATGAAGATCCATCAGCTTGTTTCAGTGTAGTCTTCACTCCACAGTGGTATCACAGACATTTTTATCCTTTCAGTTTATGACTTAATAAACGGAAATGATCTAATGGTGGATAATGACAAATAACAGGTAATTATTCTGCGACTGTACAGTTTATTATGAGCTGATTTATTTAACAGGGACAGTTCACATTAATAGAAATTGATTTAAATGCAGCAGAGTTTGCTAAGATGCTATTTTTTATCCTTAGTCCCGAGACAGATGTAGAACAGTCGTCCTGCTCCACCTGCCGCCATCTTCCTCTGTCATCAAGTTTAAATCTTATTTGATGCTGATCGATATGTTTTTAACAAGGAAAACACACGTCTGTCAGAGCCTAATATCAGCCCAACTGTTGTTCAGAATTTGTGCTGAGAAACTTTGATTGTTGATCACTCGTTGATTATCGAAGATGGTGAATATGTATCTGTCAGATATCTGAGGAGGAGCCTTGTGCTGGAAACGTCACGGCGACAAATCAATCCTTTGACAGGAGCTTGTAGGTGTGAAGATGTTCTACTCTTTTCTGATGAAGGACAAACGTGTGGACTGATGAATTATATACACACCTGCAGTTTGTGCTCTTCATGTCAGGACTCCACACACACACACATGTGTAGGAACAGTAGGAACAGAGGGTCTTTATTGAAAAGACATCAGACCTTGAGAAACCAGCAGGAAATACAAAGACAAGTTCTTTTGTCTCCTCGCGTGCGACCTTTACAAACCTGTGAAATGCTCCTACATATGGGAGTTACTTACAAGGACGTGTGTCTCCTCGCTGAAATGTGATTGCACACAGACAACTTCAAAGTGCAGAGGGCCACTTCGACGTATGACTGAGGAGTGTGTGTTGAAGTGTGTGTTGAAGTGTGTGTCTGCATGTGTAAGTGCTTGTGTCTGTGCTGACAGGAGGAGGAGGAGGAGGAGGAGGAGGAGGAGGAGGAGGAGGAGGAGGGATCTAAGCAGATGGATAAGTCGTGACGAGGTCGTGTCCCTCTGGTGGTCTCATTCTGGCTCGAGCGTGGGTCTCACAGTACAACTGGCCCTCCACGAAGAAGTAGCCCTTCTGTTTGAGGTTGACGTCACAGTCGGAGCACACAAAGCAACCGGGGTGGCGATACTTGTCCCGCGCTTTCACCACTGTCCCCCTGCACCATCAGAAACACACAGAGGGACGTGTTTAATGCAAAGAACAGAATATGAATAATTACAGCATCATCATACAGAATGACACAGTAAACAGTATTTTTGCTGCACTTTGTGTTACTGATACACCCCCGGAGCAGAAATCTTTTACTGCAGCAAAGTGAGAAAGTAATACTAAGGGACAATAAAACTAAAGTTGAAATGTCAATTTAAACTTGACTCCTCTGGTCCATCAGGTCCAGGAGCGACTGACAGCTGTGTGGGTGTTACATGCTTGGAGTGTGCGGTGGAACCATCGCTTGAACCGTCCGTATCCAATTGTTTAATACCCAGTTTTTCATTTTGCACAATTGCAACAACCCCCTCTAAGCAACAATGCTAATGCTGATTGTAACGCTGTGTTTATTCTGACAAATGGATAAATTGGAGAAATTCACGTGTCACATGTGCTTAGACTTAATATGAAATGTAAACAATCAATGTTTGAATGTTGAAAAAATTGTCTTACTTTTGGTAAGAATATTGTTCTATAGCTCACAGTATATATTCTGTATGCAATTTGAAAAAATATTAAAAGATCAATATGGCAACTGCATTTTATTATTATAACAAAAGTTGCTCAAATCACAAAAAGACCGAGAGATAGAAATGAACAGTAATAATATATATACATATTTAACAGTGAATTTCATGAATTATTTTATAAGGGTATTTGATGTAAAATGTGCTAACAATAGAAAAAGTAAATACTAACTAACCATGTATTGAAGGTCATAATGTACAGTTCACATTCTGAACAGTTTGTTCAGACAGAGCGGTGTGTTTACTCATCTGTCCAAGCTTCACATAGTTTGTGGTACTGTGTGGTTCCTGTACTTTTCTCTCAGCCTTTGTTCGGATTGATTCCTGGAGCAGCTGAATGCGAATCACAGATGATTCGTTCTATATTTACTCACACGATCCCATTCCCACACTTGTCGCAGACGGGCAGTTTCTGCAGGTTTCCTGTGGGAGGCGTCGGTTTGGTCATCGGGGCTTTTACTGTCCTGGTCACAATGGGACGAGTGCCTGTCCGAGTGCAAGAGAGAGAGACAGAGAGAGAGAGAGAGAGAGAGAGAGACAGAGAGAGAGAGAGAGAGAGAGAGAGACAGAGAGAGACAGAGAGAGAGACAGAGCACTCAACAAAACAACACTGGACATGATATGAACAACAATGAAAAACAAAACACTTGAGAGATGAGAGACAGGGACGCTCACGACCACTCGAATCACTTCAATGACTCTTCTCATAATAAGGGGAACACATGGATTATGTCATGGTGACATATTGTGTAACTTTAATTGTGGATGTTACTGGTGACTCACTCATGAATCTAAATAAACCAGCAGTGATTCAAGTTCTCATGTTGTTCAGTTTATATCTGTCCCCTGTGTCATAATCACAGACTGTTCATAAAGATGGACGACATGACGGCTCCTCAAAAGTGAAGCCAAATCACCTCGATCGTCCCCCACCTCCTCCATGTTAGTGGATGGGATGTGGACCAAACTAAAACTGTTTTCTAAAGTGTCGTTCTTCTCACACTGATGGTTGTTCACATGTTCATTATTTCTGTGAGGCTGAAACGTCATGATTGACAGCTGAGACCGAGTCACGATTGGTCGAGTGCATGTATCTGAGGGACCTGGATCCACACCACAAGGTGGCAGCATCCAATTCTGCACAACGGGAGGAGGTGGAGATGTGTTGTCCATCTTTATACAAAGTTTATTGTCATAATGAACAGAATTTACTGAAACCATTGTTCATCCCACAGCTGGTAAGACATTAAATGAGCGAATTCAGCTGTGAGATAGAAGAAACTAGAGATTGCTCGTAAGGAATTTGGTGCAAATAGAGAAAAAATTGAAAACTTGGTATTATTTGTTAAAAGTTAATTATCAGTGACGGTGATTCTGTTTCATCCACAGTGTGAAGGTGGTCCTGCATTTTAAAGCTTGTATTGATGGCGCTAATTTGAAATACTTTATTAAATTCAGAGAAGCTTAAAGGTAAAGGAGTCAAACTGTGTCGAATCTGTAAGATGGAACAACCAAAACTCTTAACTGTTACTGTCACATAGGCCTCAGCTGATGATTGAGAAAATATCTCCGCAGGGCCTTTAAAACATCTGCATCGTTTGTCTGGAAGTGAGAGGAGGAGCTCACCATCACTGTCAATAAAATCCTGCAGCGCTCTGAAGGAGCCAGACTGTCGAGGCTCCTGAGGATCCTCCTGGTCCTTCTGCAACATCCGGTAAACGTCAGAATCCTCGATGCTGCTCAGAGTCCTGGGACTGAGCACACACACACACACACATGCACACACACACACACATGCACACACGCACACACACACACACACACACACACACACACACACTTGAGTCATTTGACAGTGATAGATTCAACTTTTCGTCAGACCATCTAAAGTCCACTTCATGAAGATGGATGGTTTCATGCTCACAATGTTTTATAATCTTAACTTCGTTGCCCCTGTGTTTTTTTTTTTATCAGGTGAGAAGCAGCTGGTCGACTTCACAGAGCTACAGCGTCGTGTTTCGTCCTTATAAGGAGAAAAAGAGGATGAGTAGAAAATAAATTTATGGACTCGACCTCAGAGAGCAGGACATGATGTCAAAGCTGCCGTCGTCCTGCACAGTGTGACAGTTTCTATCATTATATGAAATAATGCTTCCTCTCTTATGACAGCACTTATGAATACATCACGACGTCCGAATACATGAATCTAAACCATCAGAGCCAGTTGTATCAGCTGTCGTGACATACGTTTGCTGTGAGTCATGTTTCGCTCATAAATTGTGTGAAAGCGATGGAAAGATTCACTCCGGCGTGCCGTGGTCATATATCCTCATATATCGGGTGGCGTCCTGAAATCCACATGGCTGGATGTGAGGACTGAGGCGCTGACAAGCTGTGACACCTTCAGAACAACTGTCACACTGAGGCACATTGATTTAACTGGTGAGTCATGTAAAGAGCAGGTGGATTCAAGTGAATGGAACATTACTGCAGAAACGTACTGAGGAGAAATCACAGCAGGAGCTGCAGAGATTCTGTCCCAGGGTTTTATCGTTTTTACCCAATGAGGGAAAATGAAGAGTGATGCAATCATGGATGGATGGATAGAAAAATAGATGGATGGATTTTTAAAATTCCCCTTGCTGTCCACACTTGTGTAAATTGTTTTTCTTAATTACTTATTATCATGTTTTTACATTATTCTGAATTTAATTTCCATATTGTAAAATATAAGCTCAGAACTATGATTATCTGTCACCTCTCAGGCTTCGTGGGGACAATCCCTCGGATCTGACCCTCCATGGCGTCCTGGATGTTACCCGAGGAGTAAAGGCCTATGGGGGTGTTGTAGGCCGTACTGACCACCTGACGCTTGTCATCGATGTTTGCCGCCGCAACAAACGGCTGAGCTTTCCGGTTGTGAGCGGCGCCAATCGGTTTGTACTCCTGAGCGGAGGAGAAGGAAACAGGAAGAGGCGATATGAGATGGAGATGTAGATGCAGGCTGTCGTGAATGAGCTTTTCTGGCAAGTTTACAAACCTGCTGCTCTGCTTCGAGGTTGATTTTATATGGATGAGCTCTGCCCTCCTCCATGACTCGAGGTGTCCACAGTCTGGATTCATTCCTGGGTATCAAACACAGATCCTTGTCAGTGTGTGTGTGTGTGTGTGTGTGTGTGTGTGTGTGTGTGTGTGTGTGTGTGTGTCCAAACCCAAATCATAAAACTGAAGTTTAAATTTCTGCTCATTCATTGGTGTTTTCGGTCAGGCCATTGTTTCTGTTTGTGTTTCAGTTTAGATTGTTTGGGTCAGTACCATTATAAAACCATTGTCTCATAAAATTAAATTCACAAATGAACAGTAAGAGCCCGCTCACAGCTGAGGATGAAACTAAGTGCAGCTGGTTGAAGGAAAGCTCCAGGAAGCAGTTTGATAAAACAATAAAGTCATTTTTTTTTTTTTGTATTAATGTAAAACAGATGAAACTCTGGACTGTTAATGTCAATATGTGGTTCACATTAGAAAGGAGCAGTGATTTCCAAACTTTTAAGAATTTGATTTTATCTGATTCGCTGGATGATTAAAGGCTTTTAAGAATGATTTACATAGATCAGTGTGTAGAGAAGCTGTTTTCAGACATGCACTAATGTTGCTGCAAACATTTTCTGGAACTTTTCCAGTCCGCCCATCAGAGCAGGGAAATGTGTAGAAAATGACCATGGAGCAAAGGGGCGTGTTGATGACGGCCTCATGACGCTTCAAACATGATGCCGGATGCTGTGGCCCCGATTTCCAGTTTCTCTGTGGGCCACTTGAAAGAAACTGAATGTGCTGCACTTGCTTTGCTTGTTGTAGAAATGACAAAATGTTTAATGCCATTACGAGCAGAAAGTCCAGCCCCAGTCCGTCCACGTCTCAGGATGAAAACCGGGCGTCATGAGATACAGACTGAGATGTCAACTAGGAAAAATTAGATCCTAGAGTTGTTGGCGATAAGGACACATCATGTGATGATCTTAAATTATGAAAAGCAAACTCTCTTTTTCCACAGTTTGTCTTATGTGTGTGTGAAAACAGAGGATGGAGACGGTGAAAGGAGCAACTGTACAATCCGTAATTCAATACAGCTTCATAACTATGGCCTTCAAACGTTATTTGGAATTAAATCAACAGCTGCTGGACACAGGAATGGAAAAATATAAGCTACACAAACACCGTGTTTCCTGCACAGCTGTTGTATTGAATTTCATGATATTGTACAGGTGTGTTTTGTAGCTGGTGCACACGCGACCTTTCCACAGTGAGGCTGAGCTGACTGGTGGACTCCTTAATCTTGTTCTGGGCTTCACAGTGCAGCAGGTCCGAGGCGGGGACTCCCTCGATGGCCAGGATGACGTCGCCGGCGCACAAGTTGGCGACGGAGGCTTTGCTGCCCGGGGTGATCTGAAAGAGAGAGAGAGAGAGAGAGAGAGAGAGAGAGAGAGAGAGAGAGAGAGAGAGAGAGAGAGAGAGAGGGTCAAAGTGAGAAGGAAGGAGAGCAAATAAAGGCTGGATTGAAATAGGTGATTTGTTTGCTTTTATTTTTCTCAATAATAATTTATAACAAATCCATACATTAAAACAATTGTGTATATTTTTCAGTTTCTGACCAAAAATCAAAATAAGCCTTTTCTAAAATCATCGTATCACCGGAGGTCACGAGAAGCTCGGGACACAAACACCAGGTCACCAGAGAAGGTGAAAATTTAAGAATTCAAATTTAATTTTCTTACTAAACATGAACGTGAAGACGTGTAACTCTTCTTTCCTTGTTCTTCCATGTGATTCTCAGGTTCAATACGATGTGAACAAACTCTAAGATTGTCTTTCACCTTCTGTTCCTTTATAAAAACCCGTTCAAACAGCCCAGATGCTGCAGCCTGGTGAAAACGTATATTCTGTTCTCCATCACTGGCACCTCATCTCTAAATACATTCCTCAACGACCAGGCCTCCTGCTCACGATCCCCTGCTGGGATCACAGCTCTAACACGACTCGTTCTCTCTCACCTGGTCTCAATAGGAAGAAACAGGCTCCACTAAGAATCCAAACTATTCACACTAATACCAGCAGAGAGTCTGAATCTGTCTCTCTGTTCACCACGTGTAAACTGTGCAAAACGCTGGCTGCTCTCTGAGCTTCCTGTTCCACACAGAAAGACACTGCCCTGGTTGGTATGCGTGGATCTACTGTCCGTCCCCCGTCATGGACATAAAATAGTTTCTCGGTAAGTGATCGCATTCAGATGGAATATGATAATCTGTCGGCCAGGACGTGATCTCGATGAATAAGAACTCCTAGGAAAAGCTATGAAGGTCAGGGAGGACTCAAACAGAACCGAACATTCACGCTCCGCAGGTCGTGACCTATGATCAGACATATTGAATTACAGGGTGTAGGAAACTCGGCTACATTGGGACGTTACAGTGAAACTTCTGTGAGATCATCTGCCTATAAATAACAGTTGATGAAAGCGCTGAGGGACGTCTCATGCTGCCGAAGAGGGAGCAGCCATTTACAGTGGAGCGTTTGTTGGACTGCTGCTGTCGGACTGTATGTTTTACTGCTCTGGAGTCTGTTCCCTGAATCTGAATCAGTTTTATTGGACCCTTTTCTTTCAGGGCCGCTCACTTATCTTGTCGAAACATTCGTCTTTGTTGAAATCACAAGCATTTCTTCTTTCTGTCAGTTTTCTCTCTCGCTTGCTTCTTTAAATCTTCCCGACTTCTCCTCGTTTCAACTCCGCAGGAAAAAATGTTTCCCTCAAAATAAAACTTAATTCTATTTTCACTTTAGATACTTGTGTACGGTTTCCCAGTGATTCAAGTATTATAAAAACTGGATTTAAAAGGAGAACAGAAATTGCAGATACAGCAATAAACTATCCAAGAAGTACTCCAACTATTTATTAATGGACTTGATGCTGCATTCATTGTTATTTTATATTAACGCATAACGTCATGGGGCTACGTGAAAAGTCAAATAATGATTATTGGACCCACATTCACTGATTCCTACTTTATAAGATCATATTTTGATAATAATAATAACATTGTGTTCATCATTTGTTGTGCTGCCCCCAATGGGCCAACAAATAATCTGCTGATGAAGTTTGGAAAGTTGAAAGAAACAGATTTTCTGTGTTTCTGAGTTTACTCCACGAATGAATCAAGCTCCGATAATTCCACAAGTGAATCCCACACTTCCCATAATGCAACTCAGTTGTAAATCAGGTTTCCATCAACCCACCCTGTGACACCAACTAAGATTTTCTTAAAGTCCGATTAGAATTTGGATAGAAATCTAGGTTGAATCCTTCATCAGATCCGTCCCTCCTGATAAATGTGTATAAATCTTTACTGAAACTAAAATGACTGTGATCATCTCAGACTTTAAAAAGCTTCTCCAGAGTCTCAGGAGAAACGATCCAGCTGTTTCCAGTGGCTCAGCGTGACATGAGGGTGGAGTGAGCTGGTCTCCGTGTGGACACGTGACAGAGTCAGTGGCTCTTTAAGGCCGCTCTGTGCTGCGCAGAGAAAAAGATGATAATCACTTGTGTTTACTTTCCTCGACCGGCTGGGAACTTCTGAGGCTCGTGAGGATGTTCCTGACCAAACATGGCAGTGGAGAGAAACACTGGACTCACGAGTGCTTGAATGAAGTCTGTGGGTTCAGTGCAGCGGCGAACACACACAGTGAATTCAACAGAAGGTGTTGAACACAGCTCTCAGAGTCTTTTTTAATACACGTCCCTATCCACCGTCTAACAGATTTCCTTCTTGCATTACATCTCACATGTAGTTGACGCTCCCAGTCTTCTCTCACCACTGTTCTCATATGAGCCACTAACACAGCAGGTGTGAGGAAACTGTGCGGAGCCGCTGGTCTGAGGTCTGAACTCTTTTGGTCAGTAGCTCCTGAGGTCTTTCCCTAAATATAGAATCACAACAGAGCAGGATTACTGGATCTCCTCACACCGGCTCCTGTGAGGCTCTGGGGATTCAGCCCACAAATGATTCCAAATACTGATGAAGACGCCACTGTTCATAATCAGACTGTTCACTGTTCAGTGAATTTTCACCCAATGGGTATGAAAAAAACTAAATATAATATCTGTATGCATCACATTTATGCATTTTTTATTTTATTCTCCTAAATTAGTGCAACACTCTGGAGCTATCTCAGATTAGTGAGTCCACCTTAAACAGTTCTGAACAAAATATTTAAAATATTCTATTCGATAGGGACAATGCTTATTGGTCAATGCAGAAAATACTGTAAATGAGCCAAAATTAGCCCCAATGGCTAATTTTCAACTGTAATCTAATGATTACTAGATTTTAGCAGTTATAAGTGGGTTGGGTTTGTTAGCTTGGACATGACCTTTGTCTGTTTCCAGCCAAGTTAAGCAAAGTGGTTGTTAAATTCAATCCTCTCATCTAAGTTTAAAATGGAATAAGCTAGTTTCAGTGACTTTTCTTTCTTTTTCGTTCTGGTTTGATACCGACACATGATTTAGTTGTTTGGCTTCACTTCGTCACAACAGGAAATGCCACATCAGTTCCAGGAAATGATCATTGTCTAGATAAATTGTGAATTCAACAGTTTCAGTCCAGATCCACGACCTCCTCCTCTTTTTAAGATGTCAGTCTCTAATAAATCATGTGCTGATATAAAATAATAGTTTCTGTGAGTTTTCTTTAATGGACTGAAACGTGTGTGTCTGTTTTCTGTCAGCTCCACCTGTGCTGGAGACAAGATGCATGATGATGTGATGAAATAAAGCTTCACTGTCTCCTGAACAGCTGCATTATTATAATATAAATAACCGTGGAGCATATCACACTGTGTTTATCACTACAAATTCATTCTTCTCTGTTGATCCAGCTACAAACGTCAACTAAAGCACATAAAAAATCTGATTCTCCCTCTGGAAAATTCCATATTTATGTTTCTTTGTTTGGCCCAGAGTCGAGATCGAGTTTATTTTTCCATCAGATTTTTAGTGTGACGCGATTCACATGCTCTGATTCTGCAGGACTGGAGTTCATTTTTAAGATTTTCCTAGATTCCTCAGTTTGTAATCCACTCGCTGCAACACGCACGTGTGTGTGCACATGCCAGAGGAATAATGTAAGCTGCTATTTGTGACTAAGCCCCTTGTATTTACTGTAGCACAGGTGCAGACCCCATACCACACGCCAGACACACTCATTCTCCAACGAAGCCCCCTGGACACACAATGTTGATGATAAACCAGAGACTGACTCATCTGGACTGTAGCACAAAAGTTTAAAAAAAAAAGGATCAAATACTATGCTCAGAAAACCCCAGAAAATTGCCAGAAAGGGAAATTAAATAACAGAAGAATTTTTTTTTTATCATCATTCTTTCTGTCACTCACCCTGGAGATGGTCAGGGGCTGGTTGAAGTCCTTCCCCCCCGTCAGGCGAAACCCCCAGGGTGCCGGACCGTCCAGCACGACATTGAGTGGCATGACCCTTTAATGCCCCGCTGCTGTCAGATAACAGCAGCACACACACAGTCGACTGCAGGCTGCGGGGGAACACAGTTAAAGAGCGCTGCACCATGGGAGTGATGGAGATTTTGTACCATGTTGGGGGTGGGAGGAGGAGGAGGAGAATGGACAGACCCCTCCCCAGCAGTGAAGCAACTTGTCACATTTTGGGAGCTGACTCTCACAGTCTGTGTTCCACTGTCACAGGCACTTTCTCGCCTGTTCTCCAGTTTCTATTGAACATTTGTTTTCTCATTTCTTCTTTTCTCCTCAAACTCTTTTCTCAGTGTTTTAAATCAGGTGCAACTACAGCATCAACACTGGGCCCAGTTCTGGACCACACACTATAAATAAGTATGTGGACACTTGAGGATGTAAACCAGCCCCTGTTGTTTCTCATCCCCAGGAGGTTCGGAGAGACGGCCTGGCCTCCTCTCGCTCTGGTTGACGGCTCTTGCTGCTCCTGTCCTTATTTGGTCTGGAGACGCAGCTCCACTCCGAGGCCTCCGAGGTCCCGCTCACACATTCCAGCCACTATTGATCTGGACTGGACCCAGGACTCTCACTCCTCAACTTGTTAACAGTCGTGATTTGGACGTTTGACCACATCATCCCCTCTCTTTGTTTATTACACAAAATTGATGTGTCACATTTCTCACGAGATGTTTTTCATCCCTCGAAGATTTTTTCCAGCCTGTAAAGAATTTACTCTGCAGTTTATTTTCAGAGTTTATTTCGGGGTATTTTCTCAGTTTTCTGTCTTTCACGTCTGCATAATAAATTATAAATACACTTGGACTTTACGAGGCTGCTTTAGGTCACTGTCAACAAACTGTGAGAGAGGCATGTTATGTTTATGTGTACGTCAGCACTGACCTGCATCAAGATAAGTTTCCATCAAGCAAATTAAACAAAGGGCCAGTTCTAACCGGTGTAGGAATAAAAACTAAATCCATCATCTGCGTACAGCTTTGAAAATCTTATCCTGTGCAGGTTTTTCACAGCGGTGAGTTGATGATGAAGCGCTCACCTGCCGGAACAAAAGCATTGAAGCATATTAAGCAAAAATAAACTCTGTTTAATTGATAAATCTGAAATGTAGACATGTCGGTATCTTGTAGTGATTCTTGGAAAGTGTTGAGGGGGTGTCGCACCTTTGACCACACCCATAAGTGATGTCACATGTATCCAACATGGACTTAAAGGTGGCACGTCTGGTGAAAGACCAAAACTAATAAATAAATCCTGTTGTCTTACTGAATAATAACCTGTAGCTTATGTCTCCATCTTTAACAGAAGCATTGCACTGGCTGACATGTTCTTTCATGACTATGAACTTGGGGACTATAGTCGATTTTAGTCAGTCCCACATTAACAATGAATAATCACTAATTGTATTGTTCGCAAATCTGTTTGCGTTGTTATTGTGAATAATTTCCAAATGTCTTTGAAAACCACATTTTTTTGAATGAAAGAAATGACCTGTTTTCAGAGATTTGTGTCGTCAGTGGGATGAAATGGACTTTGAGCAAAGTGAAACTTCATTTCATTCCTCACCAAACATTTCTCATTGAGACCTGCATTGGTATGTATCAGCTTCAACTGGCACAATACCGCCACCACCTGTGAACATGTGGAACTGTGTGCAACAGGCACGTGAATGTGTGACACCGACCCTCAGTGCTTTGGGAGCAGAACAGAAGTAAAGGGTTAAAAACTGTGCAGGTACCTTCACACTTCATGATATTTCCTTCTCAGTCATCAGCAAAAAGAGTTTTCTCATCTGTTAAACTGACAGGAGAAAAAAGCTGGAAATATTTCATCTACCAGCTGGATTTTATTAGCAATACAGCCCCATAAAATCATCCAATAACTGCTAAGATATTGTAGAAATACTTAGGTCCAAGTGTGTGCACTGAATCTGATATTAACATGAACAACATATAAGATTTACACTTTTGTTATATGTATAAACATCTCAGGAGTCAGAATCTCAGTCAGAATCTGTCCCCGTTGTTGTATGAGAGGCAGATTAGATGCTTACTGAAAGTTTCATCACTGTTGAGTTCATGTGCACATGGTCAAACACTGTCCTGATGTTCTCTACACTACATTATGCATAAATGATTCTTTTTTTTGCATCACAGAAGAGGCTTACATATACATGGCTATTAAACTTGTGAGTTGGATGTAAGGCAGCAATCACCAACTCAGTCTACCTACAGTAACTTCAGTTTAAATACGTCACTGACTGTGAAAACAACAGATAACCCGGGGGAGGGGGAAATCAAGGCCTAACGCCTGGCTACAAAAAGAGGAAATTAGCACCACCGGTGACGAACACGTGAAGAAAGCAGAGGAAACCGAATATGATGGTGGGTGAGAAAAAGCTGAGTTTATAAAGCAAAGTGGATGTTGGCCATTTTACAGCTCTCATACAAAAAAGGCTTACAAAAACACCACAGACACACACGCAACACACCAAGTGTTCTCACACCATCGGAAACAGTGGATGACAGTGAGGTGTGTGGGGGGGGGGGGTGACATGGTGGACGACGGATGATGAAACAAAATATACTTTAAGGTGCTTTAACATTTGATTTGTTGTCAGTGTCCGTCTTTCGTGAAAACACAAACATGAGAAGAAAAAAAATGACAATAAAAACTGATTCACTGTGCTTGACAAGCCAAGATGGAGATTTGCCAATGATTCCAAATGGTTTCTAAACACATGAACAGTGACGTGCTACCTATTCACTCTGATTTGAAAAGAAGCCACCAACCAACATCTAGTGGGGAAAAAAAAAAAATGCAGTTTACGCGACTGGAGTTTTCCATAAAATTCTATCTCACATGGTAACAGACTTAAATAAATTCAACATAACATCAGTCTCTTTCTGAACCATAGACTGTACCGATGGACGACATGACAGCTCCCCAAAAGTAAAGCCAAAGCGTCTCAATCGCCCCCTGGTGGCTTCCTGCAGTACAGGTCATTAACCCTGCCTCCTCCATGTTAGTTGATGGGACATGAGGACATTTTTGATTATATTCTGTAGATCGTTTTGTGGACTGTGAGGTTTATGATGGGTTTTATGATTTGTAAACATATTTTATCTATCTACAAATTTGTCTACTGTGCAGACGATGGCTCCAAAAAGCTGCGTTAATTCCCGGGATAGTTTGGCTTCATTTCTGGATAGTGGCGGGGGGGTGAAGACATGTCATCCCTCTTCATATACAGTCTATGATCTGGACAATGACACTTGACAATAAAATAACATTCCTTCAAACGTGGGTCTCGCTGCTGTTAGAATATGTTAAAAAGAGCAACATGTTCTAAAATCATCTCATTACATAGTTTGACCACCGTTCGTCCTCTAATAAATATAATACCTAAAAAAGGTCAGTAACCTTTTTGCATACACTTTCCACACACGGCTGATATTCCCCCATGAGCCACAAAGTCATAACAACCTCTGGTGTATGAAATCTGAAGTGAAATTTGAAACAAGACAAAAACACAACGTTGTGTTAAAATTGCGTTAAAGTGCATCAATCCTAGTGTGGAGACGAAAATATTTGCTTTCAAATCTCATACTTGAAATCTAATGTATTATTTTTGGACAGACAGTAGAACAGTTTCAATAATATTACTTCTACTTCCTCGTTTGCAATATTCAAATATTTGCACAATCATGAAACACGATATCCCCAATTTATCAATACATGGGGTAACACACACGTCTGCTCCACATGTTACTCCTTCTACCTTTTGATGCAGCATGTTGGCTACAGGCCCCACGACAGTCCATGAAACGGACGTGTGGACCGTTTGTGCAACACGCTCTGTACTCAACGTCTCTGTAGATTTTTGTGATTGAACACTGAAATGAAATGTGACAAGTGTTTTTGAGTTAAATATACACCAAAAAATTAGATAAAAAAGGTGACAGTGGTGATCTTACTGCCCTTAAACAGCTGAAACAGAAAGAAAAGCATCACTGCCTCGTGCTGCTCACTGTCGACGAGTGATCGCAATCATTCCCTCGCTGTGGAAAGTTAAAGGTCACTGACCGGAGCACAAAGGTTTGGGTTCTCCGTGATAGAAAAATAAGGATAAAAGATAGGTTTAAAAAAACAACATCATCTCATAGAAGTCTTCTGTTAAAGATGGCGAGTTAGAGCTAAACGTTCTGTTCGTGTGAAGCCAACGAGCCGCACGTACAAGCGAACGCGATGTGCGACAGGTCTCTGCTGAGCGCTGTGGGGAGGCGGCGTCCTGCAGGTGCTGTGCTGAGGGCGATGAATGTGTCACAGAAGGGCGCGAGGCAAAGAGGAGGAAGAGGAGGGGTCTGGAATCATCATTATAGCTGCTTCACGTAGTTTCCTGGGAAGGTTCCAAACAACTTGCTCCTTCGAGACGTCCCTTCAGAGACAAAGAGCAGTAAAGTGAGATTGGCAGAGTTTGAAACGCTCGATGAAACTTGGCAGTAGCTGTAATTGACACACTGCAGACTGGAGATCAGCCAACTGTGGAGATTAAACTCAAACCAGAACACTTTAAACATTTTTAGAGGACAGAGTTTACTGTAGACCAACATAAAAGTTAAAATGGTCAAGGCTCTTGAGGTTTATAAAAATGTAATCATGCTCAGCCTTCAGAAGGAGATGTGTTTAAAACATGTGATGTGACCACACTGCTATCTACCGCACTGTACATGTAGTTTAATCTGTGACAATACATCATATTCAAAATATTCTAATACATTAATTGTGAATTTATGTTTTGATGTTCAAACATCTCATCACAGTGAATGTTTTAATATTTCGAATAATTGAATTTTTTTCTGGTAGATGTGATCAACTGTTAAAGTACAAACTGAAATATTCCGTCCTCTTACCGACAAACCAGCCATCGTCACACTTCTCCATCACATCAACGATGTCGCCCTCCCTCAGCTCCAGCTCATCTTCGTTACGAGGCATGTAGTTGTACACGGCCTGGTATCTGTGTTTGAAAAACTGACTGTGACTTTGGCATCACCAACATTTTGTACATTGCATATAAAGCACATATAATTATAGAGAACGTGCTGTATCCCAGCTGAGTCAATCAACATATTATGAAAAAAGAGCCATTTCAGAATAATCATGATCTCAATGATAAGAAATCTCACTTACGGGTCTCCTCCCCCATGGAGTGCATCCTGAACTAATCGCTGAGTCAGACAGAGAGAGAAACAGACAGACAGCAAATTAAAATGTGGTATTTGATACACTTACGTTTACAGTTTGAACAAGACCAAGAATTAATTTCTCAGTCAATCAGTCAGGAAAACTACACTGTACATAGACAGTTTTACATGTATGTGTTTGGCATGATGTGTGATGATCCTTCATGTTACTTTTACAGTAATTGCGTGGTTGAATGAAGACATGCCCCCCCTACCCTTCGACCTCTAACGGGTGACAGATAGGACCTCCGGTACAAGATGGGGCTACGGGGAGGTTTACCACCGACAACAGGATCCTGCTTAACAGGCAGAAAGACCAGAGGCAACACACCTATAATCTCCGACTGTAACCAACTCAGCAGCCTTCACCATCAGCAGAACACACTGCAGGCTAATGACATGCTCTAAAATACCATCATCACCATCAACATGCCGAGACATCACTGCAACCAACACGAGCAGAACACACACTAACTCAAGAAGGTTCTCCAGCAGCCATACATCGTCCCTTTAGAACAGTTCATGTCCATTACATGTTAGTGCACAAAACACTAATTAGTCAGTTGCAACTAACGATTACTTCAATATTGAGAATTCTTTCAGTGTATTTTGATTAATTGTTTAGTCTATGCGAACGCAAAAATAAAAAAAATCGCAGATCAAAATTTCTCAGGTAGGAAAGCGTATTATCATTTGTCACCGCACACGCGATCAAAATCAAAGCAGTTGTCTCCACATTCCAGCTTTACCTTCACCTTGGGACACCTATGTCCTGGATGGGGTACGATGGGGGGAGTTCGGGGAGGAGAGGTGGGTTTAGGGAGAGACCGGGGGGGAAGGGGTAATGGTGACTCTGATTCGGGGAAGGACGTGACCGGATGAGATGAACATGGAACGATTTGAGAGGGATGAGTGGAGTGGAGGGGAGGTGGCGAGACAGGTGTAGAGAGGGGAGGCAGGGGCGATGTTGAGAGGCGAGGAAGGGATGGGGGCCGAGGAGAGCAAGGGGGGGATGGGGGCCGAGGGGAACAAGAGGGAGATGTGGGGGGGGTGATAAGATCACGCTGGTGCAGACGCAAGGGAGAAGACGAAGGAGGAGCAAATAAAGAGGGAGAAGAAGAAGGAGGAGGTGATAAGGAAGTCAGAGGTGGTAGTACAGAGGGTGAGGAGACGCCGGGGTGAGAGAGTCGTGTCAGGGTGGGTGGTGAGACATCAGCCTATGGAGGCAATGACAAACACATCAATGCTGAGGCTAAAAAAAGCTAACTTTAGAAATCCTTAAATTCCATAGAGGCTGTATTTTACTAAAGCCCAGAAGGGACAGGGAGGAAAAGACTTGAGATGGGATATTTAAAAAACTCCTGATTTCTCTTTTATTCTGGGGAAACATTTGCATCAACACACTATCCTCACACTATAATTAAATTTGTAACCGGGTAAGAAAAAAAACCAACATAATTTTTGTGTGATATATAATTTTAATAGATTATTAGCTGTTTGCCAGTAAATGAATGAGCTTTAAACGCTGTGTAACCCAGATACACTCATATTTTGTCTAAACATTTGTAAGCGAGCGCAACACTAGGTCTATTTTTCTCTACAATCAAAATAATTTTCCTCTATGTCCCTCAACAGAGGCAGCTCACACCATGCTCTACCTGTGGACTGAGTCTTTCATTTAAAACTCTAACGTCCTCCTCTTTCTCCTCTAAAGCTTCATCCTCTTCCTCAATGAACAACTCAGTGAATCCTTTCCCCTTGACCGACAGCGGTCTTTGAGACTCCACTGGTTCATCCTCATTCAAACTTTTCGGTTGCCCTCCCCAGGCGACTGACAGTGGCTCCATGGTCACAGGCTTGAGAAACTGCACCTCTAAACGAACGCTGCCTGCTGGTTTGCTGGCTGGAGTGACCGCTGGGGGTTTCCCCACCAGGTGATGGGATTCTGCGTTTAACTTAAGCCTATTCTGGGATTCATTGGTTGGCGTAGCTGGTGGGGAATCTATCGGAGACAATCTTGAAACACCAACGTCATCTGTGCTGGTAGAATCATCCAGGATCATGGATAACAGCTCGTCATAAGGATCTTTTACTTGCAGCTCAATGTCAGGTTGTTTGGTGCTTTTGGTTGCTGGTGCAGTTGACTTGTACCACTGTGGAATTTGTGTGAGTGACTTTTCTGGCTCTGGTGATGCGCAGAACAAAACCTCTGGCGTAGCAATGTGGAACATTTGGGCTGTTTCAGTGCACCCCCTGCTGCTGTTGTGTTGGAGAAAAGAGTCAGTCTGTGGAGAGATGAGTGAGGGATGAGGGGCGGCAGGAGGAGGAGGAGGTTGGGGAAAAGGCTGAACAGCTGGGGTGAGTCTCATTTCTCTAAAAGGAGAATTTCTGGGAAATGTCTGGGGCGGGAGAGCAAAGCCTCTCTGTGTCGGTGCAGGTGAGGGCGAGGGTGAGGACAAGGGTGTCTTAAGTTCGTGAGCTGCTTGAAAAGGTGCAAAGTCAACTGGAAGAGGGGGAGGTGTGGGTGGTGCAGGGGTGGTCGTGCGGGAGTGAGCTGGTGTGGACGCTGTTGTGTCCAGAGTAAGGGACAGCCACTCGTTGGTGACAGCTTGTAGGTCAAGCCTTCTCAACGAGGGGTGAGGGGAGGGGAGGTCACGGGTGGTGGAGGATGGAGGTAGATGGTAGAAAGGCTCCATGAAGATAAAGTGAAGGAAAAGGAACAGAGTGTGATTTGTAAACGAAACGATGAAAAGCACAGTTTATCTATTTCTACAATATATTGACACAAACTGCTCTCCTCGAATGGAGACGTTTTGAAAACATTGCATAGGATGTAAAATGTTTGCATTTGAAAAAATGCTTTTTACAATAAATACTATAAAGAAGATTTACGTGATTTATCATCATTCTAAAACAATTGAAAAATAGAAATTCAATTGGTTTATTCTACTTTTACAATACTGTAGTAAAACCTACCTTGCTGGATGAACTGCTTGGCGTCCTGTGGCCAAGGTGACCACGCAGATCTGTGTGGTGGTCGGAGCTCTTGGACGGGGAGCGCTTGATGATGTCAACGTAGGCCACGGGGAAGATGCCCTGTTTGGTCGAGTCTGGGATCTTGCCCTCGTACCAGTTCTGATCCACCTGCCTTATCACAATCACTCTCTCACCCTAAACACACACACAGACAGACACACAGACAGACACACAAGCACACATAACATACACATGTTGTTAAACACCAGTTTTGAAACAACAGACGGACAATGTGTTCATCTATGACCTTTATGACCTCAGAAAACCGTTAATACAACTTCAACAATCAGAAATACTTTATTAATCCCAGGAGGGAAATTCAAAAGTCACAGCAACACTGAATAAAAGATTTTCATTTTGCTATGCTGACAGCATGTAGGTATAAAGTTGCGTTGCATGCAGCTCTTTACATAAATGCATGAGGGAGGCTACCTTTCTGAGAGACAGCTCCACATTGGTGTCTGCATTGAAGTTATAGCGAGCCACTGCCTCTCCAATCTCTCTGACATGTGCCGGCGGAGGAGGACGGATCGGCTGCTGCTTCTCTGTGGACGGCATCTTCTGCGTGTGTGTGTGTGTGTGAGCATTGTGTAAACAGACGTCCATGTTGAGTTTGAGTAGATATATTAAATGCTTTTAAACTACACAAATGTTATACAACCACAGGACCAACATATAGATTGATGTATCAGTTGCACATTTACCTCTACATATGATATGGGGAATATCCCCACCCGTCCTCGGTGCTCTCCCTCATACCAGTTGTTGTCTATCTGCCTGATGATGTTTACTGCATCACCCTTTTTAAATGTCAGCTCCCTGTAACACAGTCATATAATTTTTGATCCACTGCACAGGAAGGAAGCTATGAACTGAACAAGACACAAACACTTCTCCCAGCAGAGCTCATGTCAAGTAAACAGAATCAACTAGAGAAGGTCGGCCACCAAAGCACAACAAGAGATGCGGCGTCAGATTAACTCATGCAAACATTTAAAAAAGGCAAAAGATTAAAAGTTAAAGTTAGCCGGGTGTAAGATTTGACAATTAAGTTGTTTTAAGAAGCAAAAGAAACTTTATGCAGGAAACGATAAAAAATTTGTAAGAGCAACATGTAGAGCAGCAAGTCCAGATGTGCAGTTACATATTCATGCATTAGAGCCTCACTCCGTTGCCCCCGTGCCCCGTGAAATGACTGTACTCACTTAGCTGTTTGTGCCTTAAAATCATAAATTGCTTTTGCAGGCTGTTTCTGATGGAGGAGAGAGAACAGAATAAGTTGTGTCATCTGTTTATGGGAGACCTAAGAGATGAGAGTGAGAGAAAGAGAACCGGCAAGCAGCTATAACATAAAATACAGATTGTAAGAGTAAATGTGACCTAAACACAAAAAAAATGCTTGTAATTGATTAAATATTACTTAATATGTTTATTGTAAGTGCCAGCTAATATGCTTTAATATAAATTATGTAAAAGAAATTAAGCTTATTAGTGCTGCACAATCACACACTGTATATATATATACGACTTCTGTTAATGTTGCTGAGACTATTAAACATCAATGCTGTACCTCTCTGTCAGGAGTAGCTCTTCTACTCTGGGGTGTGTGGCGTCCATCCATTGTGGAATAACTTCTGGAGACATCCTGGTCTATGATTGGTAGAGACACATGCCAAAAGGTCACAGGGGTATAATCACTAAAATCATGCCCAAAATACAAAAATGTGTTTCGGGAAAGTGCAAAATGGAACAGTGACGATGTCATTCCAACAGGTAAATGAGGGAATGAAAGCTCGGGTCAAACAACGGCTGAGTTTTATTTCCATTCCAAAGAAAAACAAAGTGATTCGACTTTTCCCACAATCTGACACAAAGTGACACGTGCAATCCTTCAAAAGAGATGACAACAAAATGACACAAGGAGAATACAGCCCAACAAATTATGATGCAAACCATTTACAAATGCAAATGGCTTGAGGGAGAGACGATGATTGTGGGGCAATAAAATGATTCCACAAATTGATTTTTAAGACAAATAATACAGGCAAAAAACAATATTGAAATTATAAACAAACAGAGCAATATTCACATGGATTTACTCGACCCAGAGAAATAAACCATAAATTCTCAAATAGTTCTGTGTTATTATATTTTAAAGTATTTCACAACTATATGAGGACTCGTGGTTTTCTGATCTGTCAGACATATAGTTCTCACTAATAATTCCAATTTTAAGTACTTTGTTGTTTGTTAACATTTAAGTACTGTCACTTAAACTCAACATTTCCTGAAAATGCTTCAAATTAAAAGCCTTCAAAGAACTCAAGTCTATAATATTGTTTATGTATGCTGTGATTTGGCGCTACACATAAATAACTAAATTGAATCAAATAATCCTCAGAATTTTCCTAGAATACCATTAATGTGAAACATCAGCAGGAAGTGTTAAGTTTCCACTGACATTAGCTTTACACTGAATTTAAGAATCAGCTTTTACTTGAGAATTCTTGGTCAACAGGTCTTCATATAAATACATAGAGATGCATAGTAATGTGTATTGGCTGAACAACAAGGGAACGATGGGGAAACGAGCGCAGGCAATACTCAAAACAATGAAAGAGACATTACTATGAATGTATGTGTATGTATATTTTTAAAATATGTATGTTTGAGTGGAATAAAACTATGTGTAGGTATGACTGGTTTTATGACAAAGTGTACATGTACAAAGTTGTGTAATATGTGTATCATCTCCACCTGAATAACAGAGACCATTTCCATTTCCCTGCTCCTCTCCATATTCATTATTGTTTGAGGAGTCCAAGAGGCGTCCGTAACAGGCACTGATTGGTGACTGTAACCGTGGTGACTGTAACCGTGGTGTGGATGGATCCTCTCGGTATGAGGCATTCTCAGTGGGGCTGCCGTCTGGGTACAATGATGCGGAAGAGTGACCGCCCTGCCAACACCCCCTCCTCCCCCGCAACGAGGAGCTTCGTTCAGGCACGTTTGGCAGCAGTTCAGCCAGTATTCTCCTCAGGATGCTGTCATCAGGTGCCCTAGTGCCTCTGTGGCCTCTTTCTGATTGAATGTGCTCATATATGTCTCTCAACGCAGCATCTAGCGCTTCATAAATGTCCTGTTTTGACTTGGGCCTGCTGCCTCGACCTCCGCCACCACTGATTCTTTTAGAGGTAGGTGGTGAGCCCTTTTTCCTGCGGAAAGGCACTGGGCTGACCAGGAAGGCCAGCTTGGACATCGCTTGCTGGGACTGCGAGCTCTGGATTTGGGAATGGCTGCTGCTGCTCTGCTGTGAAGGTCTCTGGAGCTCCTGACGCGCTCGTTCTCTCTCATGGCGAAGCATCGTTGTGAAACGGGTATAAGAAGCTGGGCAGCGGCCTTTGCAGGTGCTTATGAGGTGGCGGTGTTGGTACCCCTGACTCTGCCCCACATTTTGGTGGCCAGCTTGGTGGCGGTGGTGATGGTGGTGGAGATGACGGAGGTGGTGGTGGTGGTGAAGGGTAGAAGAACCGTACAAGCTCTCAGAGGAGGTTAGTGAGCAATGGTCAAAGTCACTCTCACTGTAAAAAGAGGAGCCCTCCACCTGGATGAAGTCACTGAGGTCTGACGCAATGGCGTCTTGTTCACTGTCAGAGTAGTCTGGGTTGGCTTGTGGGATTTGGGGGATCGGAGGAGCAGGAAAGGACCGAGCATGGCTTGGCTCTGGTCCACGGGGCTGGCCCTCAGGTGGGCTACGAGGTCGATGCAAGTGATCCATGGCATGAGGTGCTGCTCCAGTGTTGCTCTTGATGTCTTCTTCTAGTAAAGATTCTATGGAAAAACGACGTTTTGGAAAACTGGGTGTGGCACCACCAACACTGCTGGCTCGAGATGATGAGCCACCTGGTGTAGTAGTGCCTGAAGGCCCCTCACTATCACCCAAGTTGGGCATGGATTTGGATTTCTGAATAAGGCGCTCATATTCAGAAATGCGGTTTGGCACCATATCCTGAGGCACCTCCACACCCCATGAGGGTGTCCAGGGAGAGAGGTGATGCCTAAGCAGGTGAGGTTGACGCTCTAGATCCAGGATACGAGCCCGGACTGAGCGGATGACTTCGGATGGGATGAGCTGAGCTCGATCAATCTGGTGCATTTTACGATAGAGCTGCAGAAAGCCTGGTGAGTCATGCGCCCGTCGCCGGTGGAGTCGAGGTAATGAGCGAGTGGAAGTGGATCCAGTCGAACCTGAGGGATTGCCATCACACACCAGTGACCCAGCACTTTCTGAGCGGGTGGCATTGCGCCCACCTGAGCCAGAATGCCCGTCACTGAGTAAGTCATCACAGCTGCGTGACCTGATTTTGCCAGAGGAGGGCGGCACCTCCTCCACACCGGTCCATGCCTCAGATTCTGGGCGTTTTGTTGGACAGCTGTTCTTACAGCAGACAGACTGCTTGGAGGAGGAGCTGCCATCCGGGCTCCCATCCTCTTGGCAATGAAATGGGTCAGAAGGGACAGGGGGCACATAGGGGCCCGGATATGGACCTGGGGAGGTCAAACTGTTTGAATACATGTTGCATGCGTCCCCACCTTTCAGATGTCCAATAGAGAGCAGCGTGGTGAGAGAGAAGAAGGAGGAAAGCAGGTTAAGCAAAAATACCTAATAAAAAGGTGGAAGAGGTGGGGAGAGGGAGAAGAAATAGGTGGAAAAAAGATGATTTGAAGTTTTTTCTTCACCTTCCACCAACAAAGGCAAAATGTTTATGACAGTTTTAGGGAAAACGAGCTCGGGAAAAGAAAAAGAAAGAGAAAAAATATCAAGTGAAAAGTAGATGTTTGTGTGTATGTGTGTGTACCTTTGGCTCTGGAGGGCGAGGATGGTGAGGAACGAATGACGGGCTTCTTTAAGCTGCTGCTGGGTCTGTAGGCATCCACTGGTTTAGGGGAATTTGCAGCTCTGCTCTGAGACTGAGCGTTCACTTGGGAACTTGACGGCTCCGACTTCCTTCTCTTCCTGTAGTCGCTGGCAGCACTGGAAGACAACCAGCACACATGCTTTCAGGTATTTACTTTATTTCCCGTGTCATCAATCCTTGGCATTATAAAAGCCCAGAACACATTTTAAATATATATACACAAATTCTACCTACCGATAGTTATTCTTATCCAAAAAGATGAGACTGAGTCACTGTAACTTTCCTTATGCAAAAAAGTAGGCTTCCTATTCAGTGGCCTATTCATCACATCCTATTTCTGCCCTTTCTGTTCACCGAGGAAAATGCGACTGAATAAGCAGGCCACTGGTGAAAGGGAGTAGGAGGAGAGGAGGAGGAAGAGGAGGGGGGTTGAGGGACGGGTAGGAGGTGAAGGGCAGAATCAATGGATTTGCTGGGTTAATTTATTCTAGCTCAGTTAGAGAGAGTTAGCTGCAAAGCACAAAGCCTTTAGTGACAAAAGCAAATAAAGACGAACACCAATCTTTGCAAATCATCAGTGATAGCAGCCACAGAGGCTATCTGCACCAGAGACGAGGCAAGAAAGCGAGTTTTGATTCTGCTGCTGAATCACAACATGGGCCACTGCTGTGAAGAGGATGGGGGAGGGGGATGGAGGATGATGCAGAGGAAAATAAAAGAAGCAGAGGTTACCTCGCAGGTCTCTCCAGAGCCTTGTCAGCAGGAGCGATGTACAGGGACGTCTGAAATAGGGCAGACAACAAAAGAGAAAAGTGAGCTCCGCAGGAACAAAGACTTGAGGCAGAGCAGCTCACAATGCACAGCCTGCATGCGGTTGATGCTGTGCCACACTCAAAACACTCCCCCAGCGTAAGGTGCGATGGATGCTGGTTCCACATGGCACACCTGAACGCAAAGAGGCCTACCGGCATAAATGGTGAGGGTAAATTTCTGCTCTCTCTTGGGCTGCTCTGGAGGATGATGGTAAAGGTGATAAGGAAAGGATGTAATAAACTCAGCTCAGGGGGCAAATGCTGCCCTGCAAAACCTGGCATGGATCAGCTGGAGTGGGTCTTAGTAATAAAGATTGATCAATGCAATTTAACTGCAAGGTGCTGTTGGAGGAAGTGGTAAGCATAAAATACAATCACACGATATTGTTTTGAGCTAAAAAAAAAATGTAGAGCTTCATAAGTTCCAAAGAGATGATAAGAGACGAGGAGTAAAATCATTCTGTACACAACACAACCTGCTGATCTTCATGCAGTTCCACACAAAGAAGCATTTGAAAGCTATACATCTAACAGTCTTCACAAAGCACAGTCATATTGCTATGAATGGCTGACATGTTGAAACTAGATCGAACTGCGTTGATGCTACACACATTAAAACTCACTTTAGACAAGTGTATCTAACATAAGTATTGTTTCTTATCATTGGTTAGAAACTGTGAGATTAAAACTCTAACACTCATAAATGTGAGATTACCTCAATGTGCTGGCGAGCGGAGATGTCTGGATTATAATCCAGTCGTTTTTTAGGAGGCTTGAGCCCCAAGCAGCAGCAGTGAGCAAGAGGAGGAGGAAGAGGAGGGTGAAGATGAGGTGAAGGAGGAGAAGCAGTGGTGACATCATGGGGGGGAGAAACCCAAAAAAAACAAAACAAGAAACATGGTGAGAGAGTGACATCTGTTAGAAAATCTGAGTAAACAGAGATGGGCTAGTTCACAAGTGTTGCACATGTGCTTTTGCATGTACAACGCACACATGTGCATACACGCTACACATACTAACACACTTACACATATAAACACAAGCACACACCTGTGCATAACACACACCCGTTCATATGCACAGTCTACTGCTGATCTCAATATATTAACACTTTATCAATGCCAAAATAAAATAATAACACTACCTACGATATTTATACCACACACACACAGACACACACACAGAAATGTGCCCATGTACCACACACACATGCAGAGTGTGACAGCAAGCTGTGAAGCGGAAAGCCAAGTGAAGCACAAGCTGCAGTGTTGTGTTTATTTGACGGTGCAGTGAATCGCACAATCGAATGCTGTGACTTAGTGTCGGTTTACTAGTGCAAACAACCTATTATTCACTTAGAACACAACTCCAAAACACTGAACACACTGTGAGGTTCTGTCCCTGCTGGACCAGTCAGTGCACGGAGGGAAACCATCTACACTCTAAAGGCTTATTCTGTGGTTTGTGAAACATTCAGAACGTTGCAGGTAGAAATCTCAATGCAAAGCTCAACATGACTTTAGGAGACACAAAGTCATGTTGGTTCCATGTGTGACATTTTCACCTGAACGTTGTGAATAAGCCCAATGACTCGATCACCTGATGTCATGCTCTGGCATGGACAGAGGCGTCTCCTCATGACGCTTTGTAAATCAGTCAGGTTGGGGGTAATTTGATCCCAGATCTGTGGCGAGAGGCAACCCCTGCCCTGAGCCACTAGGGTGGTGTTACCACTTACATCCAGCAGAGGGTACTAAAGCCCTTTGGCATGAAGGTATACAGAGTAATTCTCCACTAACAGAACGGAAGATAAACAAAGTACTAGTGGAAATGAATAATGATAAAATGATTAACTGAATAAAAGGCTGAATAAATGATACACTAGCATATGTAAGATATGCAGAAGAAAGTTAGGAAACTTATATTCATTAATGTTCTGCATATTTATTTAAGTTAATTACTGACTGTCCTTTGATTTTCCTGATAATTTGGGCGCACATTTTAATACTATAGTGAACCAACTAAAATAAACATGTCTTTTCAGTGCCCACGAGCCACCAGACCAAAAACCCCAGCAACGCAAAGACATAACACAGCCTGTCATAAGGGTGGGGGGAGGGGGAGTCACAGCACCCAACAAGTACCACATGCCCAAACAACTAGCCACACCCAGACTACTGGTGGAGACATGTATTCAGAAATCCTGGGTGGGGTGGGACGAAGTGGGTGTGTGCCTTTACGGCAGGATTGTGGTTGAGGGAGTAGCTATGGCCCTGACTTACCGGCCGCCCAAACTCCAGCTCGGAAAAGAACTTATACCAAGGCTCGTTCTCTAAATCTATGTCATCATAGGTCTGGGAAAGCACGACAGTGACAGAGAGAGGAGGGAGAAGAAGAGACAGAAGAAAAGCAAGTGTGGAAAAGAAGGCACACACAAAAGAGAGACATGGACCTCATGGTTAGGAAGTGATACAGGGAGATGGGCACAGGATGAACCAGGACTAAGATTTAGCTTGAGGAGAAAATGTGATGAAGCAAAAACCATTTATCTAATGTAGATTTTTTTGTGTGTGTTGTTTCACTGGATGATAATCCTAAAACTTACTTACAGAGTGCATTCAGCAGTGTTCAATAGTGCCATATTATCACAGTAATTAGACTCACATGGAAGAATCTAATATGCACAGTCTGAAGAGACAATTAAAACACCTCGGCCCTTCTGATTTGATAATAATTAATTTCACGTGCATTTAAATTTTAATGAGGCTGCAAATTCCAGGACAGAATCCCATTACTGCAGTCTCATGATAATCCACAGTACAGGTGACAGCTCATGAAAATCAGCACGTTACTTTGAGAATTACATATTTAACACGAACCTCGTTATTAACATTCACAGCAGGAGAACTCATTACATTTAATAAGAGGAGGAAGGTGCATGTATTACACAACAGTTTTATAAAAGATGTGATTAGACTCTTCTACATTGGCAGACATCCAGTTGACCCATGCTACATTCACAGCCACACAACTGATGGTGTTGAGTATTTTTTTAATCATAATAGGAAATACTTGATCGCAGTAGTATTATATGATCAAACTACTAATGGTTGTTTAACTGTTGTGTTACTTATGAACCAGTGAAAATCATTTAAATCTTATTTTAATTGGCTTAACCCTAACCCTTAAATTAATTTCTGTCAATTAATGCTTTTTGTGCCTGCAATGCTATTAATTTGTTTTCCACTAATTTTAGATTGCATGTCATCATTTGTATTTATTTATTTGTTGTCACTTTCTGTGCTTGGTGGATGTGTGACTACTACTGATTGCACAATAACTTATCTCTCGGAAATAATAAAGATATCCTTGATCCTTGGTCCATTAAATAAATACAGTAAACCACCGACCTGGCCCAATTGTTCATATGTGTAGGTAAAAGGTCACTCAGAGTGCACGTACTGTACCTCTGATTTTTTTTTCAGACATAAATTATTACCGCTGCCAAAGGGGGGGTTATGTTTCCATCTTTGCTTGTGTGCATGTTAGCAGGATTAAGCAAAAACCCCTGGATGGTTAACCACAAAACATGCTGAAAGGATGTTGAATGGCTTGGGGAGGAACCATGTTTTTGTTGTGGATCTGGATCAGGAGGCGGATTCAGGAGTTTTTCCACATAAAAATCTGGATGTAGCATATTTAAAGAGGGTTTCATCTGTTGGGCCTTGGCAGAGGTACAGAACGTGCTTTCGAGTGCCCTTTTACCTGGATATGTGAACAATTAGGCCAGGTCATTGGTTCATGGTACTGTCTTCATTTAATGGATCAAGGATCAAATATTTATGATTAACTAGTGCCGTTCAAGTTCTCTGACCCATATATCATCGCTCCATTGAGTTTAAAGGTAATCCGTCCAGAGGTTTTTGCATAATCCTGCTTACTAACTAATAAATGTATGAATGCAATTCAAACAAGCGATGCATAACTTAGCAGAGGTAATAAGGAGAAGGCTGAACTTTCGTTTGGTTATTTGAATCCCTATCACATCTCATAAGGGCAAATTCCTTTAGCGTTAAGGACTGAAATGATAAGTTATCTATCTACACATGCCTTGTTATATATTAAATGATATTGGCTGATAAAATTCTTCACCCCCCAGGTTGCATGTCTGGTATGTAAATTGCAGACTCATTGCTTTTGGTGAGCCAAAGTTTATCTCTGTGGATGAATGATGATGAAGTGTTCACATCGCTAATGATTTCATAACAAATCAACCTGTAATAAGATGAGGCAGCTGAGATGATAAGTATTTACATGCAGCAAAATAGGCAGGTATGCCAAAAACAATGGGAACTGCTGTGCACCAAGTTATTTATCAATTCTCTTATGTTGCATGGTTTAACTTCGACAAGCACAGTTTAAAAAATGTTTTTGCATTTACAGACTTTGGCATCCAGACAAGAGGTTTACTATTATTTGAACTGCAGAGATGATGTAGTGCTTTACTCCCCTGTCTGCTCTTTCTAACCCCAGCCCCAGAAGAAAAAAGAATTTCATGCCAAATGAAACGCTGCCAGGAAATGTTATGTAGGTGTTGTTGTGTTACATCTCTCGAGCTAAAATAGAAAATTCAGGTTTGAGACAAATGTGTCAGCCTGTGAAAAAAAGTGAGGCCTGGAGCAAACACTGTCAACTGCACAATACTGTAGACAGAGAGACAGAAATGTCAGAAAAATGCTTTTGCTTCCTACGAATAAAAATTACCCAGATGGACAGCACAGAAAAGAATATTTTTTTGGTGCCATTTCTGACCTCAGAGAAGGGAGAGAAAAGGTGGTGAACAGACAACATACATAAAGAGTCTCAGACAGCAGATTAGCCCGCGTGGGTTCACTTCTACTTTCAATGGCTTTCTCCTTTTATTACCTCCGTCTATCAGGGGCTGACTCATGCAGTATTGTCCCCGTAGCGCACTCTGCAGTCATCACTTCCAACATCTGTGAATTCTTCACAAAAAGCTTTTCTTTTCACTCTTTTCCTTCATAACTCCTCATCTTGAACAGGTTCTCCATTATCCTTTCCTCATCACAGATCACCTCATGGCTATTATTTTATTTTGCCCTCCCTCTTCAAAGTAATTATCTCTGTCACCTGCTATTCACCCCACACAGACTGAGCTGGCTTAACAGAACAGTCACTGCAGGATGCATCACTGAAAGCCTGTGCTTTTAACCGCCCACGTTGTGTCTGAAGCAAAGTCCACGCAAAAGACCATTATATAAAAATATATTAACGGCACAGTAAAGTCGACAAAAATAATGTTAATTCATTTCACGTCTATATATTTAGTTGTATCGCTTCAACTTTTAATGGAGCGTAACAAGATAATTTAAGTTTTACATTTGAACAAATACAGGATCATTAAAAAAATAGCAACCGAATCAATTCACTATCACTGAAATATTTCACAAAGAAATTATCTGTAAAACCAGTTAGGGAAGAAAGTCACCTGAATGTTACATAAAATAATCCTTAAAGCCTGAGCTGACTCCAGATGAATGCCTACAGACCTCACAGGTGAATGAAACCTAAAGAAACGCAGTAAAATGATAATGGCTAAAAACCATTCACAGGATTTTGATAAGAAAAGTATTAGAATTCACTCACTGGTCTTTCACGCTCCAAAATAGAGGACTTCCCGGGCTCATACTCAAAAATACTCTTGGGCTCCGCACGGTACTTTCGTGTGTCCACTTTCCTGTCGGGGGGACCCCATTCATTCCTGGTACAAGAAAAAAACATTTTTTAAATAGACAATTCACAAAATAACATGGAATACAAAATAGATACATGGAAGTACTTTGATTAGTTAATAATAATAATCATATGTATAAGGCCTAGGGGAGGGGAGAGCCCTTTAAATTTTGTATCAATTCACTAGTGAAAGTTCCTCTTACATGTCTGGGGAATCTTTTTCACGGTCGCTATCTCTGGCCCTCAGTTGCAGGAGGGACGGCATGGGTGGAGGCGGTGGGGGTACAGGGGATGGGGAGGGTTCTCGAGGCCCCAGATGCCCTCCATTGTCTGAGGGGCTTTTGGACAGCGGCCTGTATGTGTGTGTCCGGGGAGCCGGGTGTGCCATGGTGGTGGCAGAGGATGAAAGGCTGTGGTCATCTGTTAAGGACGGCATTAAGGAGACATCAGGCAGGAGAAGTAATAAGGCAGAGTAAGCCAGAGAGGAGACTTATGATGTGAAATTCAACTTTGGTTACACATTAATTAGGTCTCACCGTTGTTAATGACAGCATAAGTTGCATTGTATGTGTCAGAGTAGTCATCGTCTGGAGGAGAAAAGAATAAAACCTGATTGGAATACATGTACAACATTATGATACAAGTTTGAAGTTTCCTCCTGAAGGAGAGCGGGGCCTGCATTTCGATTAAAGTGAGTTACAAATTATTAAGGACACATTTTCACACTGGAAAGCATCAAAAAACAACCCGAGCAGCAAAATCCACTTTCCCTCTGTCTGCTTATTCAAAACCACTGCTTTTGTAATATGTATAATTTAGCTTTAATTTAAAGTAACACTATGTAGCATTTACTGAGCAACAGCGCCCTCTGCAGCCACATGTGGTGATTAATTCTGCTGGGCTCCCTGTCCAGGGATTCAGTGATTTTCTTGTAGAAAAGAAACAAAGTCTATCAATCTGTGGATAGTACCCATTATCCCTGGCTTCCTGAACCAGAAGAGCTGCCGCCTTATCAAATCCACCAAACTTTGTGTAGAATTCTTCATATATCAAAAGTTTCCTCCTTCTGTTTGACAGACATCAAAGTCTCTTTAACTGATCTAAAGAGTAGTGGCTCTCAAATTGCGGTCCATGGCACACGACCAGGGGGTCTGTGAAAACTGTCCTGATTCATCCATTCAAAAGATCATGATATATGGGTATTCTGTGTTGACAAATATCCTTAAAACATGTTTCTAAGTGTAAAACTATTATTCCGATGGACATAAGGGAGTTCTACTCTATAGAGTTCCTTGGCTGAGAGTCAGTATTGAGAATTTCTGACAGAGCTGGTGTTCAGGGTGAGGAAGGGGAATGAGAGAGAATTAAAGAGGCTCCATTCTCAGAGTACCATCATAATTATTTTGAAGCTACTGCTTGTAGAATATCTGACACAAAAATGCTGTTCCTGCAAAGAGAGAAGGGGCTGCGCACATTTTCAAAGACACTTGAATACTACAAGAGGTGATACTGAAAAGACAGAGAATTTGTGTGAGACTGGAGTATTGCTTTATAAATCCACTGGAAGATTTGAATTTTCAGCGAGGGAATTCAGAGATGCATCAAAGAGACCATCGCAAGCCTGTAGATGTAGCCTGCAGAAATCTCTGTGTCTGTGTGTTTGTGCTGCGGTAGAAGAAGCCCGAGCTGTTTAGAACAAACAAGCCTTGTACTGACTGTGTGCTTCTGTCAGGCCCACAAAATTAGAGCAGATTTCCCAGGACAGCTCTGTTCCTATTAGAGAGCTTCTCTCAATAACCTCCTCCTCTTCAGACTTCCTCCCTCGCTCGCATTTAATGAGTTCTGGCTCTGAGGTTCTCTGGGTCTTTCAGTTTAACAAGAACCGGTATACTAAGACACACACACACACATGCACATGCATACAAGCAGCATGCATGCACAACATATTTTCCCACAATGGGTAATTTCAAAATCTTACCGATTATGTGTAGACTTACCTGCTTTGTGAACCTTGTGGATCTGTTTGAACATAGTTTTATACCAATCCTTAGGCCTATCCACCGTCTGTGGAGAGAGAAATAATCGTTAAGATTTATGTGCCGTGAAATGCAGCAACTGGGAAACTGTAGGAGTCCCACTGTTTCAGGGGACATTACTGAGCTGAGAAAAACATACTCAGCCTTTTAGACATCCATATTTCACATAAGAGAATTTAACTTTTGTTGAGACATAGAGAAATCGTCTATAAAAGATTGATTTACACTCTGTAGTGTTTTTAGCAAATGCTGACCTCATTATTTTTTACATTCTCCGCCTTTCTGAAGTGAAACATGAAATTGGAAGAATTATCTCAAACTCTGGGACTAATAAATTGACCCAATCAAATGTGATTCGGGGCAAACCAAAATCCTATTATGTGTTTCAATTAGTGCGTATTGCAGCTTTTACACATACCCGGCGTACATCAGTCACAATGTTCAACCTACACAGCTGTGTAAAAACACAACAGTTGCGTACATCAGCCACTTAATGAATTACTGCGGCAGTCTGTTTTTATATGAATGTGCATGTTGTGATTGTGCATGCTTTCAGAAATCAATGTCAGCAGGTTTGGTTTCATGGCATAGACGGAGCTACAAAAAAAATAAAATCAGAGCTGTGGTTCTGTGCCAGGAGAAACCCTGGTATGTGTCTTTGTTTATACTGTATAGATCTAATGGCCACTTCAAAAAGGACCCATCAAATGGCAGAGAGACTTAATCCGCTCTTTATTCAGTAGCAGAAAAACAGTGTCTGAACTCCGGTCACAGTGAGTGTGTGTTACTGTGCGTGTACCAGAGACAGTCCAATTACCACTTCCCTCTCCACGGTTACCAAACAGAGTGGCCACAAAAATGTTTGTCTGCTCACAATGAGGAGCATCTGTTTTTCGGTTTTCTTCTTTCAGGACGCCCCCTCCCTTTTCACCTTTTCTTTTACTTTTATTGCCCATCTCTCGCTCTTCTCATTTCTCTTTCTCTCACTCTGTGGTCTGCCTTTAAACACGAGTAACAGAAATGGATAACTGAGGGAAGTGTTAATACGTGAAAAGCCTAAACAGAGATAACACACACTCTGACAAGTTGGAAGGAAGGACCTTGAGGTGCTAAAGCAAAGACCTTGTCTGAGCTCATCTTTGAAACTAGCGCACAGAGACTGATACTGCGAGTGGGAGAGAAAAAAGGCCTTTAACAAGGGTTCAAAAGCTGCTGACAGCTGAGAGTAATCCCCTCTCATGAGCCTGGCCACATATCAAGACAACAGAAATGGGTCTGAAGACGCCCCTGTGCTGCTATACACTGCCAAACTGAGTGCATTTCATTCTGTGCATGTTTGACCTCACCGTGCGGATGGCGATAGGAATGCCGGACTCATCCACAGGGCCGATGCCTTCATAATGAGGGGCTTTAATGATGGAGACCTTCTTTTCTTCTTCTGAGAAGGAGGCAATGGGCACAGTGCTGCTGACACTGGTGTGGCCCGACACCACAGACTCTCTGGTGACAGACTCGCTGCCCTCTGGAAACAACAGGGAAGAGGAGAGAGAGGAAAGAGACGTCATTCCCAAAGATCAGAGCAGAAAAATTCTTTTAAAATCTTACAGTCCTGTCATTTGGAGATATACAAATCACAACTTGTAAACCATATGACCCCTCAACTCTGCAATGAGATTTGACAAAATCATTTCTATCCAGACACTGTGTGCGAGATTCATTAACAAAAGTCCCTTGAGTGGTGCTTAAAATGGCAATAGACAAGTCTTGAGCTTTAACTTATCAGTATGAAGTAGATGTTGATTGCAAAGCGTGATGGCTAATGAATGATGACACCATTGGCACTCAGATTTGTTAAGCCTAGGATTTACAAAGCAATTCTGTTTGAGGGAACCCACTCCAGGAACACACTCCAAACAAATTCTCACACTTTTAGAACAAAGTGGGGTATTTATCATAATAAAGATTTGTTTATTTTCACTGTAGGTTGTGGTCTACACCCAGAGTCAGCTCTGCCATTTCAGAAAGGTAAAATGTGGCTGATGATGTTCTGTTTTTGTGTTTGTCTGTAGTTGAATTCTATTTGTACTGTATTTGAAATGCAGTGCAGCAACTTCCTCAATCATGTCTTTTGTGTGAGCAGAGAAATCACCAAAGAATTACTGGATGTATCCTCGGCTGAAATGAGTGGGGGACAAAAGAAGAGTGACTCACCCGAACTCCGGCTCTGTCTCTGGAGCCCAGTGTGGAGTGAGGTGGGGGGAGGAGGATAGGATGGGGGAGAGAGGGGTCTCTGTGGATGGCTTGTGCTTCCATTCATAGCGTGAGAGAGGACCTGGCCCTAAGAGTGACCCACAAACCAGAAACGGAGCCAGTAAGTCTGCCATTCACAAATATCAATAGAATGTACAATAGTGAACTTGATCTTGTAGATCTACTATAAAGAATGAGTTTTTTAATGTGTTTAAATCAAAGAAAACTTGTCATCTTATTGCAAGAACAAAGTCTGGTATAGGAATATATGTTACATATCGACAGATATTGGATCTAATAGGATTCGTGGAAGTGGTGAATCTGAAGTGAGAATGTAAGAACAGTTAGTCAGGGAAAGGGGCTCTTATTCAAATACTTCACTCTAAAACAGAACAGAGATTAAAAACAGCGACAGTCAACATGGACAACTCTTTCACATTCAGATACATTTCAGAATAAATTAGTAGCGACATAAACAAGACAACGATCCTAATGGTTATAATGCTCTTCCATTTAAAACATGACACAAAGACATGATTCCATCTGACAAAAGGATAAAAACACAGGATTTCAGTCTTAAGGCCTCAAAGTTCTGATCAAAGATTCAAGAAACCTCAAAAACACAAGTTTAAAACTGATCAATGAGCAGTCAGGCTAAGCATTTGCCGCCGGTCGTTACAACATATCCTAGTTTCAGATATCTGTATCACCACATGACAAATCCTGCTGAATATTTCCGAGTCGTGTGAATGGATATTTCACTGTTTGGAAAAATCAATAAAGCCATTCACTAAAACCTCATTTATGCTCAACATTCAATACGTTATATATATTATATATATATATATAAACATTATATATATTGCTTAACAACCTTGCCAACTTAAGGAAGCATGGAGGTATGTGGGCACTGACTGTTACATCGTTGGAAGTGGACGCATCTCTTTTTGTACGTAAAGGCAGCAAAAATGAGCCTTAAGGCTGAGAGCAGGAATTGTGGCGAGGAGAGAACAGTGACAATGCAATTAAACTCTGATGGACTTGACAGACAACAAGTTAATGACTTGGCGACGAAGAAGTGAATACCAGAACAAATAGTGCAGCTCTAACAAAATTACCATTCAGGTTCAATCAGTCTTGTCTAACTGGGAAAACAAAGTGCAATGCAAAACTATGCCATAATCTAGTTCTCCGACAAGGTCTCATGCATCTATTCTCAGGTCAATATATATACATATATATAATATATACTATGATCTGACAGGAAATATAACTGTTAGTCCTGACACACATTAACTTTCAGCAGACAAGTTCAGTCTTTAAACCTGCACCCAACAGGCTGCTTCACCCTAATGCAATTTCTCTGAACAATGGAAGTGTCTTTGCACTGGATTGCAAAAAAGTTACAACAAAGAGAAATGCAGACAAGCACATAGAGACATGACGTTCTAATGAACACAGAGACATTAACATAATAAGGGAAAAGAGGGGGCAGAATTTAAACAGGTAGGCTGCAGTTGATGGTTAGTGGAAGGTAAAACTTGGTAGTAATCACGCTTTCTGTGGAGGTTTGGTTCAGCCATCCGAATAAGTTGGGAGGAGAGAAGGAACCATTTGGTTTTGGTAATGATGTGTGTTACAGCAGTGACTGTTGGGATAATTACGTTAGTGACAGTGGCTGTTGCAGCAGTGGAGGCCACAGAGGTTGTTAGCGCATCATCAGGGCCAGCAGTGGATGTGTAGGTAGAGACATGGCTGAGGGTGGGCGATGGCGTGGGTGAGGCATCGGGTGAGTCCAGGCTACAGATCTGCAGCTCGTCCAGCAGACCCGCCGTGGAGGACGAGTAGTGGCTGAGAGCTGACACAGGGGAAGCCGAGGGTGACACGAAGCCACCGGTGCTCACAGTGACCGCACCGGCTGCGCCACTAGCTCCGCTAGGAACATAGGGGGTGGGCGATAGGGTCTTGGGCATGAGGCCTGGCAGGTAGTTGAGTGATTCTGAGCTGTGGTAGGGGGAGTGCGGAGAGGTGGGGTTGGGGGATGGTGGCCCCTGGTGTTGGAGGATGAGGGAGTTGATTGGAAAAGGAGGAAAGGAGAAGAGTGCTTAGTGATATCACTCATTAGCCACATTGTCACAAAGGATGAGTGGAAGTAACACGTGAGCCTGGCAGAAGGTGAAATGCTGTTGGGAAGCCACACTGAGGTGTCATGGGGCAGCAGCATCATCTTCTCAAGCATGATAATTGCTGTGAATTGAAGATGCTGTGTTAGTTCAAACTCTGTGAAAGGCAGCAAAGGATACTGACAGTAACACTGGTGCATGATAAATGAAACACTTTGTTATGACACAAACAAGTTGACACATATGTAGAATTACAGTTAGTTTGCTTGACTGACAACAAAATGAAGGTCAACACACACAAAAAGTATACGCATCAAAAACACCTGCATCTGTTTTCACACCTGGATCAGACTTTCCAGTGTTCATATGCATCAAACCTCCAGGGAAACGTTTCTCTGGTAACGTCACAATGACTACCTCTTCTGTTTGTATGGTGGATCAAATGATTTGCTGCAGACACCGTGTTACTCTTAAATCGCTCTCAATGTCATCAGGAGAAAGCCCCAGCCATGTTGTCTTATTGTGACCCCGCTCGCAATATGTAGTTAGTTATATACCAACAGTTTTGCAGGAGAAGGTCTCGGTGGAACTGCAGGAGGAGGTTTCGTCATCTCCACCTGCGATGCGGCCGGACTTGAGGCTTGATATAGTTCTTGATCTGGGACCAGGGCTTCTGCTGTGGGATTTGGAGGTTGACGCTCGGGATTTTTCAGATTCTCAGGGCCCAAGTGGACAGAGAGCGAGGCTGTCCTTGTCGGGGGCTGAGGGAGAGTGGGACCCCTTGGGATAGGTGGGGAAGCTGCGGTCTGGGTCTTAGTTTGGGGATCAAGGTAAGAGTTGAGGTGAGCAGGAGGGTCAGGGATGGTGACCGGAGTTAGTTTGAGTGAAGCCACTTTACGCTCCCGGACCTGTTTATTATTAGAGGTGGCAGATTCAATACAATCTTTTGGGACCTGGTGTTCCTGCTGGACTAAGTTTGCACTGGTCTCTGAATAGGCGTAAGAGGATGTGCTATTAATCGTGTAGGACTCTTTCAATACCGCTTTCTCATTGTGAGTGAATGTTAGCATTCCAGGGCCAGAATCATTAGCCAAGGCAATGAGGGAGCTATAGTCTGGTGGATTAGTGCCAGTGGGCGAGAAGTGGAAACTCTCTCTCCTGGGGGGTGGCAACGGCAAGTGACCAATGTCCTTGTTTGTCAATTAGAAGCAGCAGCCAAAATAAGTCCAAACAACAACAACAACAAAAGAACCATCAGTGAAAAGCTTGATACAAATCATCAAGTTACAAACTTCAAATACATAATAGCTCTCTGAAAATTATTCGTAATTCTGTTGGTTTGTGGCGTCATTAAGAGTAACCTCTTCCACAGAGTCAATAACATTACAACATAATTATTTTAGATTAAAGTAAACAGCAGTTATCAAGAAAAAATGCAAACTGTCAACACGTATCAAATATAGTGTGCGAGATCTGTTACCTGTGTCGGTGACTTTTTGTCCTGCAGGTTGGGTCTGACGCTTCGGAAGCCTTTGGCAGCGAGAGATGAGCTGCCGGCGTCTCCGTTCTTAAGGCCATCTGTTACGCTCCGTGACCGCCAAGAATCTAAAAAAATAAAAAAATTGATCACCACAATAGGTTTGATCAATCTTCTGGTCTCTCCACAGCCTCTTATGTCAAGATTCTCCATCAGAATTCCCAAAAAGATACTTACCCAAGTCTGATGAGTGAGAATCACTCCCTGTGGGGACAGAGAAGACACAGCAGAAATCAATGTGTGGTCACATTTATCCCTGAATTACAACACAACCACATCTTAAGTCCTGGGAGAAGAATTCTTCAATTGAAAGGAATAGTACATGGATCTTAATGACAAAGGTTTACTTTAGTGACTGATATCTAAGTGTGTGCACTCTGGTACTGCTTGATTGAATTTAAGGGGATGGTTGAGCCTTAGTGGAGATATGTGCTCAACTGAGTGCCATTCTAGATAACAACTACACACGATGCTTATGTCAAATCAACAAATTTTAGTTTCCTGATGACGGCAGATTATAAAAAAACTCACATATCACCAGTATAAAAGAAATACAAAAAAAATCTGGATTAGAGAGGCTTTCCATGTACATCAACGAATTCACAACACAAAGAAGGAGACCAATCTGAACAACGTAATTCAACATAAAGTTTGATGTCTGCATGACACAATGGTCACTGTGCATTCTTAAGGGCTTTTACACATTCATGGTTAACTGTACCATCCTTTTTTTTATATCGAAGAACCCACTCATTGAATCCACATGCCTGGCTATGCTAGCTATCCCAGAACATAACAGACAACTGGTTGTCCCTGTAGAGATGCTCATGGTTGTGGTGGTTTTCTCTGAGCACTATGAACATGCCACTAAACCTCAAGTCTTTATTCCACAGTGCTGTGCTATCTGAGCCGTGGTTTGATAAGACCCACTATGCACCTAAGGCTGCTGTATTTGACAGCTGCTTATCAGCTTTCAGACAATGCCCTGCTATTGTCAAAAAAGGAAGCGGACTGCCAGAATGGCTACAGGGGTGTGGCAGTTAACCTGGGTGCTGATAAGATGTACGCACAGTCACTGCTTTTTCAGGAGAGAGAAAGAAAAAGCTGTTGGGGACAAATTCGCTTTCCTCTGAAAACCCAAGAATTAAGTATAGATGTAACTGTCCTGCATGTAAAATGCCTGCTTAATCACCTTGACTTGACCCTGTTATTTCAAACTATTTGAGAAAAGAATAAAGCAACAGTTTTAGGCTGAAGAGGCTTTTACATACAACAGATCAACTATGATTTTGCTCGGATAAAACCGAAGCACAGATCAGGAAGAATTAAGCAGAGCTGGGCCATTTTATTCACCACACAACCCCCGTCCAAATACATTTCCACATGTCTCCAAGAGCTTAGGGTCAGGGGAGCGATGGCATGTCTAACCAATCAATGCTGACAGAGGAGAAAAACAAGGAAACAGAGCCAGGAAAGAAAAAAACGTTTTTGTACACAAGAGGAACAGAGGAACAAACTACACACAAGGAGAGAGAGATGGTAAGGAGAGTGAGAACATGACGCATGAAATCTGTCTAAAGGAAGAAAGAATGAAATCAATAACTGGCCAGTAAGACATATGACCAATTTCGGAAACAAAATGGAGCAAACTAAACTAGATGAAATGATAAGGTAAAAACAGCATCTCACAGTTCAAACATTGCTGAAGCATACCAAGGCAGCCACAGACCTTTTAAAAGTATTTCAAATATGCTCAAGCCATATCAGTGAGATGAAGCTCAAACATGATTTTGAAAATCAAAAACTTACCTCATGTAGCTCATACCAACTGCTCAGCCCAGTCAATTCCACAGACTGGGTTGTATTTCAGGTATTGAGTTCACTTTGCTTGTTGGATTGTGTGTTAATATGTTGTGTGTTTGTGAGTGTTAGTACCTGTGGCTAGATTTGGTGAGCTCTGGACCCTCTTCATGGGAGAGAGTATGAGTGACAAGGCCACGCTTTTGGTAACGCATCCTCCGCTATCTGAGGAATCACAGCCAGGCAGGTTGGATCATAGAGGCGGAAGCAGCAGCGCACATGCACATGCACAGATGCACAGCAACACAAAAACACATGCATTCAGCCAGAGTCATAACCCGAAGAAGAGGAGGCAAACACATGCAGTAAAGGACACTTATGATGCTTTTTCAGTTTTTCTTTCCTGAAGTGTGTTAGATAGGGTTTTTGTGAATGTAAAGGTTCTTGCAAAGTTCATTAGAATGCATTTGTATGCCTCCGCCAACCAGTACAGTTTCCATGTACATATTTTTGCATATACCCTTTTCCCAGATTCATATAAACATTATTAAGGCATTCTTGAGATTTATATAGTTTTCACAGGAATCAAACCAAAAAACAAGAAACAATGCCTCCGGCCGCTGGCTCTCTCCATCGCAGAGGCATATAAAGTCCAAAGAAGTTAGTAAAGGTAACAAGCCAAAAACCAAGGGTTTCAGACAGAGGCTGAAGAGAGGAGCTGCAGCAATAGACAGTGAGGGACTCCAGAGTTTGTAAACCTTTATAAGTAATAACACAAATCAAAATTAAGAACCTGCAGAATATGTCTCCTTGAAAAGAGCCAGAGTTTTACTGTGGTAGATTTGGCGACAGCTCATAGAAAATGAATTAAGGATTTGAAATGAATTTGGTCTTTAACCCCATTATAACTCTGAATTTCGAAGCAGAAGCAGTTTGATTATGAAGAGACAGCACTTAGAACATTGTATAATGGATGACCCTGGATGCTTAGGTCGTAATAAAAGAGTAATAAATAATGGTGAAGAAGTTAAATGTTGATTTGGATTAAAATCATAAAATCTCAGTTTTCTGACCTGCAGTCACTTCAGTGAAAAACGTTCAGTACTTTACAACAAGCTGATGATCTTCATAAAGGCTTTACCACATATTTTTCTTTTTTTAAATTTTGTATGTAGCACTTACACAAATAATGGTGAGGTCACTGAAATCCCTTCTTTAGAATTTAAACCACCCGTGATATTCTATATTCTGAATACAGACAAACAAGCCAGATGAGTAAAGCTAACACTGGCAGGCACTCAGAGTGGTGGTGTGTGGTGTATGGACAAGGCTTGGAGATGGATTACTCATCATTGATTCACCGGCCGAAATACACACATCAGCTCGGGATGACTGCCAGTTTTGGGACACAGCTTTGGAAATGTATTTAAGGTGGAATATGTCACCGGTAGTTAAAAGCAACAACCTTACGATACCTAATGATGCTTTTAGTCACAATAACTGAGGCCAAAAATGGATCAACACCAAAGTGGTGAAAGAGGGTCAGGGCTAGAGTTACAGACTCATGCCTGTGGCAGAGGAAAAGTAACACACATGGCAGCTTTTAAAATAGCGAGGTGACCTGAAATGTGGTAACATGTTGACTTTTTATTTCAAAGCAATGAATATAAAAAAATCTTTTCTCTGTTTAGAAAATAAATAAATAAATGCTGAAATTAAAACTCTTCAACTTTGCCGAACTAAAATAATAGACATAATAAGGAAATAATCCCCTAAAATCTCATATGTGTGTCCATACCTGTATTCATATTGAAGAGCACTTCTTACTGATCTACTGCAGGGGGACACACTTTCCTGCAAAACAGAAACAAAGTATGAATCACAAAAAATGTTCACAATAAATGTTTTTAATAGCTGAATAACCCATCGCATTAAAGTGAAACAATAGTCTTTTCCAGTCATTTACATTCACATAATTATCTTCCTGAGGGTAAAACAATAACTAATTGGGTTATTGTAATAATAAGAAATGACCTCTTTTTAATTGTAAAATCTTTAGTACTGAATCTTAAACATATTTAAATATTTGGGAAATCTGCCAGTTTCCTGTTGCCCACTGGGTCATCAGTTGTTTTGACTCAAGCTGCACTTTCTTTATGAGCCAACGTCTCTGTGCAGGATGAGGCTGTAGAGATTTATGTTGTGTAGGAGTGGGGCTGCTGTATGTGCTGACATGGTGAAAGTGACTGCAAGTCAGCTCAACATCACCTCCTAAGACACATTTCATTTTTTCCCCCCCCCATCTTGAGAAAAAACCTAATGGGCTGGGGAGCAGACTTCCTGGACATTATCTGTTAAATGAACTGAACCATTATCTGCACATCTGAAAACGGCAGAAAAGTAAAGAGTCAAGGACCTGGTTACAGACGATCAACACACCAATTTGTTCAGTGATCCATGTAAAGTGAAATTTGGCATTTCTGTTTGATTGTTAAAGTGAAAAAGGCATAGACCCGTGATAGATATTGATAATCACATCTTCAGAATCTTTACTAATTTTTGCAGTATCAGCACCAAACAAAATGGCTCTAGTCAATATTTGTTGTCTCTTATCTAATCCTGATTCAAACCTTAGATATAAACATAGCTGTGAGCCATGAGCCCTAACTTCAACAACGGAGCAGCATCATTGTAATGTGAGGGAAACAATATTCAAAAAGGGGTTAAAGTCCTAGACAGATACAGGGGTTTAGAGAATGATTCAATATGATGGAATACACATGAATGATAAAGAGATACTGGTCAAAATTTGTAGGAAAGATTGTAAGAAACACAACTAAAGTGTAAAAGTTTATCTTGAGCAGAAAAGTATGAGTGTTGAAAAGGATTAAAAAAAGTGAAGTTCTAAACCATAGGACTAAGCTGTGTCACTAACACACTTACTCTTTTCCTTAAATTACAATGTAGCATGAAAACGAAGTATGTTAAATTTAATTCCACACATGTTGCCTGTCGTGTTGAAAAGGGTGTTTACGCCAAAGCCTAAACCCCAGGAATCCAAATGAGGGAAGGTAATTTCTTCTGGCTGAGTGGATGATTTAATGACCTTAGCAAATTCTTTACAGCACATAGATGAAACATGAATAGCTCTGATAAATGATACAGAACGCTGTGTTTACTTAACTGTACCCGTCCGTGGTGTTTGCCTCTTGCTATAAGGAGACATTTTCTTGGAACTGTTGCAGGAGTGATTTATATGAACAGGGCACACAAAAACCAAAGGCACAGCACAGACCATGCATCACTGTTTGAATGTGTGCACACGTATGTCATCATGGGACTTAGTGTGTATGACAGATACTATGAGCGACAGCCTACAGTGGCTATGGTTGGGATCACACATGTCTGGTATGTAAATGACTGTGACACACGCAACTCTGATACAGTGATATAAGTGTTTTTGGGCAGTAATGAACAGTAAAATGTGTAGATGCCTCCAGAGCTTTTTAAATAATCTAAATCTAACTTATTTGAAAGAATGACTTAATTGAATGAAATGATATCGATAAATACTACAATCTTACAAAAAAGTCACAAATATCAGTATTCACTGTCACAATTCAAACAGTGACAATATGACTCAAGCCCCATTCTGCCATGATTTATTTAGTTATTAAAATTCGTGCCAGACACAATACTAATCTGGCAATTGTTAATACTTTATTTGTTCACAGAGAACAGGGACAAAAACCTTATTACAAATCTACGCCTGCGATTTTAATCATGTAACACAATGTGCAGTTAAACGTTCTGTTGTAAGATGTTGGATTCAGAACATTTTCTTTTAATTATTATTGCTCATTTTCTACATTCAGCACAGGGGGTAAAAAAAGAATCAATCTTTGAGAATTGCCTTCTTCTATGTGTCAGGTAACTCATTGTGTACAAAGGGGGAGTTATACGTCACATATATGTCTGCATATCACTGAGTAAGGATTGTCATTAGATATAGAAGTTCTGTAAGACCTGGGTAGTTTATATTTGAGTATTGGATAGGGTTAATATTCTAATGCATTTAGCATTATATAGCTACTGATCTAAACAAACTTAAATCAAACATTTACTTCAACAGTCTGACAACAACTTGAGCCTCATTGACAAGTAAAGTCCTGATAATTGTGGTTATCTTTAACTGGGGCTTTTTTTGGAAAAGGTATGCAGCCATATTCTAACATGAATGTGTAAACTACCTCAGCAGCTGGCTTCAGTGATGAGTGGCAGAAGAAGCATTAACATGTAGTGGACCATGCTGACAATTTTACAGGCAAGATGATGGTAAACATTCATAGATGTAGAAAGAGATGGAGAACAGTCGTTTCTGAGATTCCTCTAACTCTCACTCCTCAAAACAAGAAATTGTCAATGTGACAATGTATGGACCTTATTTATAACAAAACACTTTTCTTTAATAATGAAATATTGTAAAAATGATCTATTCTCACCTTTGCAGTTGTGCATTTCAATACAGCATAAAATCTGCTCAATTATTTATTTTCTCTGTGCTCAGGTAAAGCCAAATGGTAAAGCCAAATGTATTGGCTAAAAAAATAGGTGTGATTGATTATTTTACACTTATTTACCAAGATATACTGCACAACTACTTTGTTATCACATAAGTGCAGTTGTTTGACTATAAAATATCAAGCCTTAATTTAATTGATAACATCATTGCCAAATATCTTTTAAACAAACTGTATACAGTATATCAGCTTATATATCTTTATTGGAACGTTTTTACTTTTAATATCTGTTTTGCATCAGCCTCCAAAAATCCTTATTGGTCGGCTCCAGTTGCCACCATTTTATTTGAATACATGTGTATATCGTTTCAGAACACAGTTAAAGCTGGTGAGGAGGAAGCACTTTTACTTGTAGTCATGCATCATGGGATACTTCCAGTCCCTCAAGACCTGATCCTTGCCCTCATGCAGTGTGCCCTCGTAAATCTATCTGTGAGAAACACACACACCCAGTGAGGTAAATCATGGCTCTGGCGTCGCAGGCTGTCGGCGTCCAAATGATGGTCAGATTATAAACAGGATCATGTTTCTTGGGGACAGATCAGTGGCGACACAGCAGCTGTGGCCATGGTGTAATGTTATGGCTGCACACTGGAAGAAAACGCTCCGGGCTTTACACCTCTGAAGAACCCTGACTATTTCTCCAGATAGGAACCTTTCAAGCCTTTAAATACAGAATCTGCAGCACTGTCCTAAGGTGACAGATTATAGAAGTACATGTATGTTAACGTGCATAACACCATATATAGCAGAGAGGCACCAAATGTTTCCATTAATAATCAGTAAATGCTTGTATGTAAGACTAAATGTAAGACTCAATGGAATGTTAGAGCGGTGGTGAAAATAAATGTTGTCAGATTAATACTCAATGTCCTATATAAGAATGATTTAACTTCAATGTCAATTCACAGAAAATGACTTTACAATGAATTCTAAATTTGTTGTTTTCTATTCATGCCCTACTTTCTCCGTCCAAAGCATTTACTTTCGAGTGATTTTATTTTCTAACTTTCCTGTGGTTTATCCGCAGACTGTAATTTAGGCATCGGTAGGCCACTCTGGAGACTTGTGTGTGTATAATTACTGAGTGTAATAGCTGTGTAACTGCGAACACACAAGTCAGAGCTATAAGCCGCAGAAAGCCGCGATGTCCAACACCGCAAGCTCATCAAGTCTCATTACTCTGTTGAGAGACCCACTGAGACCCATTTGGCTTGTATCAGTGGATTAAAAGGGTTTCAGCTTTGAATCCTTAGAAAAATAAGACACTGAAGCGATAAATGATGGGACATTTATCCTTCTATATTTATTCATTGGGACATTAAGTAGATCTCAGTTCATCATCAGAAACTGTTCTTACTTTTATAATGGCATTGCCATGACATGAAGTTTTACCACTCAGAGTCCTTGTTGGAATGCTTTTAATTTTGCCTTAACATGCAAAAAATGTTTACTATGCTAATTTTCAGCAAAACATTACCGATATATGATCAGACAATTCATGTTTTCCTAGCAATCCTGTGCTTTGATCAAGCCCTTGTCCCCTAAGTTAATTTTGTTGAATTGTCTTTTACCACATTTTACTGTTGCACTGCTTTAGACTCTACTTTATTTTATTAATAACTGTAATGGTTGTAATGGTTTTAAAGCTCTCTTGCTCAACTCCAGTTTTTTTATGAGTTAAATAAACAAATCTGACTTGACTTGACCTGTAAACACAAATTCAACTCTGAAGACAAAATAAATCAAAGTATGTACATGGGATCTTTCATGTGTAATCTGTGTCTAAATATACTATTTAAATTATCTGATAAAATCAGTGCAGAGACAGTGATTCGATGATGAAGCTGGTCCTAATCAATGCCACTTGAGACTGAGGTTTAAGCATATGAGTCTGGAATGAACCACTATCCTTGAGATTATTGAAAAAAATTATTCATTTCGCTGTGTTTTTATACTAAAAGACAAAAAACAAGAACATGAAGAAAGCATAGCCCAGACAGTGTGACTGTCAAATGAAAGGAAACAAACAAAGGGAAGGAAAGAAAAACACAAACATGTCTTCAAAGAGCGCTGGCCTTGATGCCATTACTCACTGCCGTCTGCCTCGGCAAAGACAAAACAACGGACTAAAAACAAATTTGTCAACATTCTTCCATGAGAAAAATTATAGCAATGACACAAACAAACCTACTTCAATCTGGATACAAAAATTTCACATAACCTTTTCACATACGGCACAAGACTGAATTATATTTCATGATGTTTTCAAGC